GAATGGAAATTCTAAGTCAAAAAATGTATCTATACCCCCATGTTCATAGCAGTGTTATTTACAATAGCTTAGACATGGAAACAACCTAAGCATCCATTGATAGATGAATGGATAAGGAAATTATGATATAGGGGCACCTAGCTGGCTCAGTGGAGCATGCAACCCTTGATCTTAGGGTCAGTTCAAGCCCCACACTGGATGTGGAGTTTATTTTAAAAAACAGAAGTTGTGATCTATCTATTGATCAATCGATCGATCATTCTATATTATTCAGCCATAAAAAATGAGAAACCCTATCATTCATGACAACTTGGATGGACCTTGAAGGCATAATGCTAAGTAAAATAAGTCAGAGAAAGACAAATATTTTATAAGCTCACTTAAATGTTGCATATTTTTTTAAAGATTTATTTATTCTTTAATTTATCTGAGAGACAGAGTGAGGGCTTGAGCAGGGGGAGGGCCAGAGGGAGAGGGAGAGGGAGAAGCAGACTCCCTGCTGAGCAGGGAACCCATCATAGGGCTCCTTTCCAGGACCCTGGGATCATGACCTGAGTTGAAGGCAGATCCTTAACCAGCTGAGCCACCCAGGCACCCCTATTCATGGCATATTAAATATCAAAAAACCAATCTCCTAGAAAAAGAGATTTCACTTGTGATTACTAGAAGTGGAGGGTAGAGGGAAGAGGAAGTGAAGGAATGTGATTAAAAGGTACAGAGTTCCAGTGATATCATAAATAAGTATAATGTACAACACGATGACTTTAGCTAACACTGCTATAAGATATACACGAAAGTTGCTAAGATAATAAATCTTAACAGTTCTCATCACAAGGAAAATGTTTTTCTTTTTTTCCTTTCTTTTTATTGTATCTATATGAGAAGATGGACATTAATTGAACCTGTGGTAATTCATTTCACAATATATGTAAATCAAAGCAACAAGCTATGTCTTAAACTTACGCAGTGATGTACGTCAATTATTTCTCAATAAAACTGGGGGGAAAAAGAGTAGTATAGATAAGTGACCTGTAGGGCACCTGTGTGGCTCAGGCAGTTAAGCATCTGCCTTCAGCTCAGGTCATGATCCTGGGGTCCTGGGATCAAGTCCTGCATCTGGCTCCCTGCTCAGTGGGGAATCTGCTATTCCCTCTGCCAATTTCTTCCCTGGCTGGTGAGCTCTCTCCCCCTTTCCTCTCTCTCTTCCTCTCATAAAAATAAATAAAATCTTTTAAAAAAAAAGATAAGTGAACTGTAGAACTGTAATTATTTTTAGAATGGAATATCAAAAGGAATGAGAATATTAAAAACTATCAGTATTCAAACATGGGAAGGCATCTCATGAGAATATTTAATAAATCAGGTGTAAAAGCATAATGTGATTCCATTTATATAAAGTTGAAAAGTCTGCACATGATAACACACATTACAATTTTCTATGTTTTCAGAAGTTCGGATATCCTGAGGATGACCCTGTAGTAGCAGTAAGGGGACACAAAGGGGCTTCCTTGACGTTGATTATGTTCTATAACCCGAGTGCTGGTTACAAAGATGTATTCACTTTGTGAAAATTCACTTAACTGTATACTTGTAATTTATGCACTTTTCTATACGTGTGTATTAAAAAATACTTCAAAATTTTAAAAAATTGAAATCCATTATATAATCTATCCATTATCGTCTATATGCCAATAGTTACCATGTAAATAAATGCACAGGAAAGAGACTAGAAGGGCATGAGCCAAAAGTATTCTCTCACTCTTTCATTTGTTCACTCATCCAACAGATACTTATTGAGCACCTGCTATACCAGGTACGGTGCTGGGTATTGGCCATGGCCTGGTACTGGGCACTGCTAACTCCAGAAGTGAATTTCTAGTGTTTGTCTTCTTCTTTTTGTACTTCTAAAAAGTTTTACTGTGAATATATATTTACTTATAAAATAAGAGGGCATCATATATATTTATTTTTAAAAGATTCTGATAGAAGGACAAGAACCGCATGTTCCTCTCAATAGATACAGAAAAAGCATTTGACAAAGTACAGCAGCCTTTCTTGATTAAAACTCTTCACAGTGTAGGGATAGAGGGTACATACCTCAATATCATTAAAGCCATCTATGAAAAACGCACAGCAAATATCATTCTCTATGGGGAAAAACTGAGAGATTTTCCCCTGAGGTCAGGAACACGACAGGGATGTCACCACTGCTATTCAACATACTTCTAGAAGTCTTAGCCTCAGCAATCAGATAACAAAAAGAAATAAAAAGCATCCAAATTAGCAAAGAAGTCAAACTCTCACTCTTTGCAGATGATATGATACTCCATGTGGAAAACTCAAAAGCCCCTACCCCAAAACTGCTAGAACTCATACAGGAATTCAGTAAGTGGCAGGATATAAAATCAATGCACAGAAATCGTTGCATTTCTATACACCAACAAGACAGAAGAAAGAGAAATTAAAGAGTCAATCCCATTTACAATTGCACCAAAAATCATAAAATACCTAAAAATAAATCTAACCAAAGAGGTAAAGAATCTATACTCAGAAAACTATAGAGTACTCACGAAAGAAACTGAGGAACACACAAAGAAATGGAAAAACATTCCATGCTCATGGATTGGAAGAACAAATAATGTGAAAATGTCTATGCAACCTAGAGCAATCTACACATCCAATGCAATTCCTATCAAAATATCATCAGCTTTTTTCCACAGAACTGGAACAAATAATCCTAAAATTTGTATGGAACCAGAAAAAACCCTGAATAGCCAAAAGAATGTTCAAAAAGAAAACCAAAACTTGTGTCATCACAATTCTAGACTTCAAGCTCCATTACAAAGCTTTAATCATCAAGATAGTATGGTATTACACAAAAACAGACACATAGATCAAAGGAACAGAATAGACAGCCCAGAAATAGACCTTCACTCTATGGTCAATTAATCTTCAACAAAGCAGGAAAGAATAGTCTATGGAAAAAAGACAGTCTCTTCAACAAATGGTATTGGGAAAATTGGACAGCCATATGCAGAAGAATGAAACTGGATCATTTTCTTCTACCATACACAAAAAATAGACTCAAAATGGATGAAAGACCTCAGTGTAAGACAGGAATCCATCAAAATCCTAGAGGAGAACACAGGCAGCAGCTTTTGCACAGCAAAGGAAAGAGTCAACAAAACCAAAAGACAACCGACAGAATGAGAGAAGATATTTGCAAATAACATATTAGATAAAGGGCTAGTATCCAAAATCTATAAAGAACTTATCAAACTCAACACCCAAATAACAAATAATCCAATCAAGAAATGGGCAGAAAACATGAATGGACATTTCTCCAAAGAAGACATTCAAATGGCTAACAGACACTTGAAAAAGTACTCAACATCACTAAGCATCAGAGAAATACAAACAAAACCACAAAGAGATACCACCTTATACCAGTCCAGAATGGCTAAAATTAACAAGTCAGGAAACAACAGATGTTGGTGAGGATGTGAAGAAAGAGGAACCCTCCTACACTGTTGGTGGGAATGCAAGCTGGTGCAGCCTCTCTGGAAAACAGTACAGAGGTTCCTCAAAAAGTTGAAAATATGACTCAGCAATTGCACCACTGGGTATTTATCCCAAAGATACAAATGTAGCGACCAAAGGGACACCTGTCCCCCAATGTTTATAGCAGCAATGTCTACAATAGCCAAACTATGGAAAGAGCCCAGATGTCCATCAACAGATAAATGGATAAAGAAGATGTGGTATATATACACAATGGAATATTATGTAGCCATCAAAAAGTAAAAAAAAAAATTGGGGGATGCCTGGGTGCCTCAGATGGTTAGGCATCTGCCTTGGGCACAGGTTATAATCCCAGGGTCCCGGGATCAAGTTCCTCATTGGGCTCCCTACTCAGAGAGAGTCTGCTTCTCCCTCTCCCTCTGCCTCTTACCCTATTGTGCTCTCTCTCTCAAATGAATAAATAAAATAAAATAAAATAAAATAAAATCTTGCCATTTGCAATGATGTGGATGGAACTAGAGGGTATTATACTAAGCAAAATAAGTCAATCAGAGAAAGACAATTATCATATGATCTCACTGATATGTAGAATTTAAGAAACAAGGCAGAGGATCATAGGGGAAGAGAGAAAAAAATGAAACAAGATGAAACCAGAGAAGGAGAGAAAACATAAGAGACTCTTAATCATAGGAAACAAACAGGGTTGCTGGAGGGGAATGGGTATTATATAAGACTGATGAATCACAGACCTGTACACCTGAAAAAAATAATACATTGTATATTTTTAAAAATAGTAAAAAATTAAGAAAAATAAATTTTTAAAAATATTCTGGGGGCACCTGAATGGCTCAGCGGGTTAAGCCTCTGCCTTCGGCCCAGGTGATGATCTCAGGGTCCTAGAATTGAGCCCCATGTCGGGCTCTCTGATCAGTGGGGAGCCTGCTTCCCCCTTTCTGCCTGCTGCTCTGCCTACTTGTGATCTCTCTCCCTCTGTCAAATAAATAAATAAAATCTTTAAAAAAAAAAATTCTGATAGAGCTATGGTTAAGAAAGGAGTGTTTTGATATATAACTGTGTAGCCAAGTTCTAATAGATGAGTTTTGGGGATATTTATTTTTTTAATTGCTTCTTGGCCTTTTGGCTAAGATCAAGTGTTGAGATATTTACTTATTTTTGAAGTAATACTGGTATTCCCCAGGAAGCCTTTTCCATGTCCTCTATAAAATGTATTCCTTTAGCAGACAGAAGCCATAATTTTAGAAAGAAATGTCTTTTTATTAGTAAGATTTTATATTACCTTCAACATCTGCCTATCTAAATATATGTATTTTTTTTGAAGAGCAATTTTTTTACATGTGGTTATTTAATGTTATTTAAATACTTTAAAGGTTTTTTGATAACAAGGTTTTAGGATAATTAAAAAATATAACAACTATATAGTATAAAATGAATTTGGAATTCATATAAATACAAATTATCTATACCATGTCTTTTTGTGAATGAGATTTATCTTTAGATTTATCTTTTTCATTCTTTTTCTTCTGTTTTTCTTCTGCTTGTTTTTCAAAATAATCTTTAAGAAGATGGTTCAGCTGTGATTCATACTGGCTTGCATGTTGTAATCCATCTTCCCTTCCTTAAAAAGATACAAAACATGAGACAACAGTATTTCATAGTGGTCCCCTATTCTTTTAGTTATCTCCCACAGTGGCAAATCCAGAGCTTTCCTATCTGAACCACTCTAAGCGCTAACTCAAAAGTCAGTTTCAATTCAAAATGCTTGAATTAAACATATTTTTATTTTACCTTCACAGTGTTGGATCACACGTCCCCAGAGTCGATTTTTCCGTAAACAGGCTAAATTTCCCACAATCAATAAATGCCTCCTTCCTCTGGTCAATGCAACATTCATTCTTTTTTCTGAATCAATGAATCCTACTTGTCTTGTCCTTACACAGGACAGAATAATGATCTCTTTTTCAGCTCCCTGAAAAGCATCTACTGTGGATACCTGCACAGCTTTAATATCAGGATGGTCAAAGTCCATGGCACTGAGTAAATGACAAAGCTATGGAGGAAAGAAGAAAGAGATCATTCAGGGCAGGGACTATGAAGAACTTAAGACCTGAACATATTGACAGCAGCCCTTTTTATTTAACTGGTAGTGGATAATTTTCATTTTCTTTTTTACGACTCACAAATATTTAGTAGTTTCTAAAATGATACATAAATAATGAGAGGACAATATAAGTTAGGCAACAAAATCAAAAGTGTTGATTTATCTATTGCTGAGGAATTCATCTGGATATGTTAATTCAGAGTTGATAAATAATGAAACAGATGAAAAATATTTTTTTAAAAAAGCAAAAACTAGTTAGAAGTAATTGGCTTATGCGTACATTAATATCTGGTATCTATCTTTGATTAATAAAATGAAATGATAATGAAAGAACATTTTGGAAAACAAAGATTGAATCCCATCTGTCCCAAAACACAAAGCATACACTGTATTTTCTTCCCTCTAATTTGTTTATTTGCATTTTTGCCCCAACAGCTGTAAACTGAATTTAATTAAGCCTTGTTAGATTTACATTTAATTATACAGAAAAAAAGCCAGACCAAATAAAAATCAGAATTTTTTTAATATGTTAACTACAGTCCCAAAATTGTTTTTAACCAAAACAAACCACTACAAATGTAATATCAAATATTATAACATAAAATTATAATATTTAAGTATCATAATATGTAATACAAACCTTGTGCATCTGGGATTTGTATAATGTTATCACCCCAATCATAGAGCCCGCTATTCCACTTGCAATCAGTGATTGAATCAGTTTGAGTGTAAAAGCAGCTTCTGCCACATTATGAAAGCTGTTATCTCTTTCAATCTGGAATAAGAAACAGATCCTAAATTATATTTCCCAGAAAGCCTATGGAAAGACCAAGAAAACCATATAAACAACAATAAAATTAAACCAGGAAACTAAACCATGTTGACTCTCATTAACATTAATGTCATTTACCTGTTCCAGTCCTTTAACGTTGTAGAAACACAGGGTTGGGAGCCATTCCAATAAAGGGCTCCTCTCTGTTTCTGAAATGCCATTCATGAGGTTTCCTTCATAGAACAGATCATTAGAGATAGCACTGATCACAGGGTGACAACGGTATTGGGTTCTCAACAGAACTGGCTTATGCCCCTAAGAAATTTAAATGCAGAAAAATAGAAAATTGAAGCATTTTTTTCCTTAAGGAAAAAAATAATATTTTAAAATTTAAAAGTATCACCATATTGTGCTCTTAGCAAGTGAATTACAACCATGATGAAACAGACTACAAATACAGTTTTCTTAATTACTAAAGATATTTTCACGGCAAACTATTATTATACCACAAAATTATAAAATATAAAACATGTCAAATCTTCAAATTATTACCTAATAAGTTTGGCACCTAACATTATGCTTTTATAATCTATGCAGAGTAGGGCGGACACTAAATTAAAAGAGAATCTTCAAAAAAAATTAGAAAGTGTTGTTGATAACTCATTTATGAATTTTCCTCCTTGGGTACAAGCCATCTTTCATTTTGAATCTTCAAATAAGTTTTCAATTTTGTTAATGTATCATAAAATACACATTCCATGTACTTTAGGGGTCTCTGGAGCGTACTCTTTCTTTGCAAAATGTTCTGTAGCACTGTTTGAACATTTTAAATAATACAAGGTACTCTAGTAATAAAAACACATAGTAAAAGGAAGGATTAATGGTCACATAGACAAGGTATTTTTTTTTAAGATTTTATTTATTCATGAGAGACAGAGAGTGAGAGAGAAAGAGAGAGGGAGGCAGAGGCAGAGGGAGAAACGGACTTGGGAACCTGACGTGGGGCTTGATCTCAGGACTCTGGGATCATGACCTGAGTGGAAGGCAAATCCTTAACTGACTGAGCCATGCAGGCACCCAACTAGGTATGTTTTATGGGAGAAAAATAGTAAGTAAAAATCCAATCCTCAGTACTATTTAGGGCCTAAATTTGTGAATGAGTCTGAATCAGTGGGCACGTGGGTGTAGCATGCTACTCTTAATCTTGGGGTTGTGATTTCAAGCCTGAGGGTGGTCATGAAGGCTACTTAAAAAAAAAAAAAATGCTCAAAGGACCATGCTTTAGAACTAGAAACAATGTTAGAGAAATGACTAAATTATGGTATATCCACATTACCTATTTGGTGATTAAACTTATTTATGACAACAGTCATGATTACAAAGCTAGTTAGTAACACAGGGAAATGATTTATTATAATGCAAAGTTTAAAAAAGTTAGGATAGAAACTATGTAGTATGGTCTCAACTATATAAGAAAATATTTTTTTCCAGCTTTATTGTGATATAATTGACATATAACATTGTGTAAGTTGAAGGTGTACCAGGAGTTGACTTGATACACCTATATTACAAACTGATTACCACCATAGTGTTAGCTAACAGCTCCATCACAGCACATAGATACCATTTCTTTTTTTATGGTGAGAATATTTAACATATATTCTCTTGGCAACTTTCAAGTATGTAATATAGTATTATTAACTATAATCAACATGCTGTTAATTAGATCCCTAGAACTTATTCAAACCCTGTAACTAGAAATTTGTACACTTTGACCAACATGACCCATTTCCTACCTCTCTACCTTCCAGTTCCTGGTAACCATCATTCTACTCTGTTTGTACAAGGTCAGCTTTTTTAGATTCTACATATAAATGATATATACTACTGGTCTCTCTCAGATTTATTTCACTTAGCATAATGTTCTCAAGGTACATCCATGTTGTTACAAATGGCAGGATTTCCTTTTTTATGGCTGCATGATATTCCAACGTGTGTTTGCACATATCAAATATATGTATTTTTATAGTTTATATATATACATTTATCTGATATAAGCATATACCCCAAAGATAAAGGCTGGAAGGAACACTACTAAAATATTTTAAAGGATTTTCTCTTGGGGGCAATGAGGTTATTATAGTTTTGGTTTGGTTTTTTTTTTAACCTTTTAGTTTTCTGTAGTTTCTACACTTTCTATCATGATTAGTAGATATTATTTTTATTTCTTTTAATTCTGAAGTAGTTCAAATACACAGAAAAGCAAAGAAATATAATACTCATGTATGTACTACACAGATGTGACATTAGTATTTAGTCCTTGTTGCTTCAGGTCTCTCTTTTGTTAAGACATAAAATGTGACATATATAGCTAAAGCTCATTTCCTCTACCACCTTCTCCAGAAATAGCTTCAAACTAACATTATGCACACATTAATATCTGGTATCTATCTTTTTTCTGAATCAATATCTTATAGCATTCCCATGGAAGTTCTATATGTTTACTACATAGGCATATACCTATGATTAATACATATTATTTGTTATGCTTTTGAAATTCACATAAATTGTGTTTTACACTATGTAACACTTTGCACCTTGCTTCTCTCAATATCCAGTATGTTTATGAGCACTATCTATATGGATCAAGTTAATTCACCTTAACTGTTTTATATATTCCATTTTGTAAATTCTATTCCATTTTATTCTGTAAATAAATCACTTTTAAGTCCTTTATTTACCCTTTTAAAATCCCCTCTCAAAATCTACTTCATGGGCGCCTGGGTGGCTCAGTGGGTTAAGCCTCTGCCTTCGGCTCAGGTCATGGTCTCAGGGTCCTGGGATCGAGCCCCGCATCAGGATCTCTGCTCAGCAGGGAGCCTGCTTCCCTTCCTCTCTCTCTCTGCCTGCCTCTCTGCCTACTTGTGATCCCTGTCAAATAAATAAATAAAATCTTTAAAAAAAAAATCTACTTCATATTTTAAAAGTCATCGACAACAAATAAGTGAAAGAGCAAAGAGCATAACAGCATGCATACTATGCTACCATTTGTTAAAACAGAGGGGAAATACTTTATGTATTTGCTTACACTGATAAATTATCACTAGAAGGGTACAAGCAAAGGTGACAGTTGCTTTGTGGAAGAGAAACTGAGTGACTGGGGGACAGGAGTAGAAGTCTTCATTGTACTTTCTGGTTCCTCTTAAATTCAAATCCCAAATCATGTGACGATGTTACCTATTCAAAAATGTTTTAAGAATCTAAATAATTTTTTAATTAAGATTATTAAGAAGCCACTGGAAAGGTCTGATTCAAAAGAATCTGGACACTGACATTATGGAAGCGGTAGAAAGTTATGCAATTCAATTCAGTTACAATTAAAAGCTCAAGACCACTGAAAGCTTGAGTCGTCACAAACTAAGTACAACTCAACTCAAAACTTAAATCAACTTGCAACTCAGTGCATGGGGAAACTTCTGAAGAAAGTAGGATAAAACTGCCTTGCAGAATCCATTCTCTAATATCTAAACGGACAACAAAACATTAAAATAACAAAATACTAAAAACAACAGCAAAGAAAAAATACAGTAGCCAGGCAACAAACGTTTATAGCCATCCCAATGTCATAAACTTTAAAAGGTACCTGTCACCAAGAAAGAAACAAAATTTAAGTGGAAGGGAGAAATGCAATACAGATCTTCCTTGACTTATGATGGGGTAACATCCTGATAAACCCATCATAAGTTGAAAATATCATAAGTCAAGATGCGTTTAATACATCCACCCTGTGGAACATCATAGCTTAGCCTAGCCTACCTTAAACATGCTTAGAATACTTACATTAGCATACAGTTGGGCTAAATCATCTATCACAAAGCCTGATTTATAAAGAAGTGTCGGATATTTCTTGTAATTTAATACTGTACTGAAAGTGAAAAACAGAATGGTTGTATGGGTGCAGAATGGTTCTTACATGTATCCGTTGTTTATTTTCATGATCATGATTGGGAGCTGCGGCCCAGCATCATGAGAAAGGATCTTAACACATATTGTTAGCTTGGGAAAAGATCAAAATTCAAGATTCAAAGTATAGTTTCTACTAAATTTATCACTTTAACACCATCATAAAGTTGAAATTGTTAGGTCAAAACATTGTAAGTCAGGAACCATCTGTGTAGTAAGATTCCTAACTCCTCTAGAAGTCATAAAACAGAAATGGCTTCTAAGAATAATAATGAAACAGAGAAAGTGAAATGGGCAGTTTTTAGTGGAAGTGAAGGCTCTGAGGACTAAACATCAAACTGAGAGGACACGTGAAATCCAAGAATAGTCCTCATCTGGGAAAGGAACAATACCTCCAACCATGTGGAGTGAATACGGGGACAGGATATTTAATAAAACCTTAAAATTGAGAGAGCACATGTAAGCTAAAAAAGACATTACACATTCTTATTTAGTTCTATTCCAGTCTCACTCCTACTCCACTTCCCTACCATAATATTTTAAGGATACTACAAAAATAGAGAATACAAATCTAAGAGAGCTTCTCAAAGACAAACATCAAGAAATCAAGTAGGAATGGCAACTATGCAAACATACGACGGCTTCTCCCCCAAAATTAACAAAATAAGGAAGACAATGCAAACAATATGTATAGAACCCAGCCTAGACAAACTACAACCAAGAAACAGAAGAAAATTTTTCTCAAGTATAAAAGCTTTAGAATATAATCAGAATATAATTGAGTGAAACAAAATCTCAAAGGTGAGATGATGAAAAGATAAGATTAATAGGGAAATTTCAATCCTAAAGAAACAAACTAATTTCTAAATGGTAACATTAAAGAGCGGGTTCCCTCTCTTGGTGGGTCTCTCTCTCTCTGTCAAATAAATAAATAAATAAAATCTGGAAAAAAAAAAAGAAATTAAGGTAACATAAATGGAAGACAGATAAAGACACCCAATATCAGAATAACTGGGGAACCTCTCTGTTTTAGACTGAATGTGTTCCCCACCCCAATTCCTATGTTGCAGCCCTGAACCCCAAAGTGATGGTATTTAGAGGTGGGGCCTTTGGAAGGTAATTAGGTTTAGATGAGCATGAGGATGAGGCCCTCATGATAAGATTAGTCTCCTTATAAGAGGAAGAGGCCAGAGTTTTCTTTCTTTCCACCATGTGAGGATACAGCCAAGAACAGAGTTCTTATCAGGAACCAAATCTGAAGGTACCTTGACCTTGGCCTTCCCAAACTCCAGAATTGTGAGAAATAAATCTGTTGGTTAAGCCACCCAGTATATGATGTTTTGTTATAGCACGCTGCACAGACAAGCTACTGACAGAGAATTCAACAGGTGGAACAAAAACCTTTCCTGAAACAAAGAACGAAAAGAATTTCCACTTTGAGATAACTTATATTACAGAGTGATTAGTTACCGAAAGCTCCACACTAAGATATACTGTAGTAAGTTTATCAATTTTAAGGTTATAAAAATAGTTCTTGCACCCAGGTAGAAAATATAAATCATTACAAGGGGAAAATAATCAGGCTGGCCCCAAAATTCACAGTAATAGCAACATTTCAATAAGCCAAGGTGCCATTTACATTTAAGGAAAGAGACATTTGAAACAAAGATCTCAGGAAAGTAGGCATCTATGAGCCATTCTGGAAAAAAAAAATGATGATGAAGTCCAAGGTACCCAGATGAATGAAAAAGTACTGAATTTTTAAAATATAGAACTGATTCTAAATAATTGTACAAATTATGATTGTAAAACAAAAAGAATAATGATGTAATAACTAACAAAGATAGGAACATGGGAAGGGATAAGAAAAGGGGGGGAAAGCATGAGAGCACTAGTATCTCTACCGTTTAGAGCAAAGAAATTAATCCATCTGTCTAAAATCTGTTAGAGGATCTTTTAGAAAAACTATCTCTTATGGGTAAAGAAATATTTATTTGAGATTTAATTATTTCTAGTTTCATTTCAGTTTTTCTCCTCTGCTAAGAAAGTACAGATTATTGGAAGTTCAAACAGCAAAATAACCCCCTAAATGCAATTTAAACTAGCAAGAATAGGGATGCTTGGGAGGCTCAGTTGCTGAAGTGTCTGCCTCCACCTCAGGTCATGATCTTGGGGTTCTGGGATAGCGTCCCACATCAGGGGGTCTGCTTCCCCCTCTTCCCCTGACCCTGCCCCAGCTTGTGCACGCTCTCTCTCTCTCTCTCTCACTCTCTCACATAAATCAATAAAATCTTTGAAAAAGAATAAACTAGCAACAATGAAAAATTAATTAATTAATAATAAACTAGCAACAATGATAACATTTTTCTTTTGACAACAGATTTTCTATAACTCTTTTGGGTACTATTTTAATCTTCTGCTTTTAAAATAGCTTGATTTAGATTATTGCATCAAAACAATAGTAATAATGAATAGGTATGCAAATTATGGTATATACATACAATGAAATATTATTCAGCCATAAAAAAGTAATTAAATCATATGCACCAATCAAATAGAATGGACGATTTAGAAATAAACCCACACAAAGTCAAATGATTTTTAACAAGGGTGCCAAAACCATTCAATGGGGAAAGGATAGTTTTTTCAACAAATGGTGCTGGGAAAACAGGGTATCTGCAAGGAAAAGAAAAAAGTTGATCTGTACCTTATATACCATATAAAAAATTAACTCAAAATGGACCAAAGAATTACATGTAAGAGCCAAAACTGTAACATTCTTAGAATAAAACATTGGGGGACATCAGTATGACACTGGACTGGGCAACAATTTCATGGCTATGACACCAAAATCATAAGTGACATAAGGAAAAAATAGATAAATTGGACTTCATCAAAATTACGAACTTTTGTGCATCTAAGGACTGTCAAGGGGCACTTGGATGGCTCAGTTGGTTAAGCATCCACTTCTTGATTTTGGGTCAGGTTATGATCTCAGGGTCATGAGATTGCACCCCATGTCAAACTCCACACTGGCCTGGAGCCTAGTTAAGATTCTCTGTCCCTCTGCCTACCCACCACTGACTTGCTCATGCAAGTTCTCACTCTCAAATTAAAAAAAAAAAAAAAAAAAAATATATATATATATATATATATATAAATATATATATATATCGTCAAGAAAACAAAGACTACCTAAGAATGGAAGAAAGTATTTGCAAATAAGGGTTTATATCCAGAAAATATAAAGAACATATACAACTCAACATCAAAAAACCAAACATCCCAATTCAAAATTGGGCAAAATATTTCAATAAACATTTTTCCAAAGATAAGCACATGCAAAAATGCTTAATGTCCTTATTCATTAGGGAAACCACAATGAGAGACCTTCTTCACATCTATTAGGAGAGCTATTATTTTAAAAGCCCCAAAAATATAAAACAAAAAAACAAATATTGGTGAAGATGTGGAGAAACTGGACCATTTTGTTGAGAAATTCCTATTGGGAATGTAAATAGTATAGCTGATATGGAAAACAGTTTTGGCAGTTCCTCAAAAAGTTAAACACAAAATTATCGAGGATGTGGAGAATGGAGAACCTTCTTACACTGGGAATGCAAACCGATGCAGCCACCCTGAAAAACTGTATGGACATTCCTCAAAATTTAAAAATAGAACTACTATGTGATCCAGGGTATTTGCACTTCAATACAATACAAAATACAAATATAATACAATAAAATACAAATACAAAATACAAATATAATACAAATAAAATACAAATACAAAATACAAAAACACTAATTCAAAGGCATACATGCACCTTGATGTTTACAGCAGCATTATCTACAATAACCAAACTATGGAAATAGCACAAGTGTCGAACTGACTGATGAATGGAAAAAGAAAATGTGATATAGGTATATATAGGTATATAGAGATACACACACACACACACACACACACACACACACACACATATACAATGGAATATTATTACTCAGCCACAAAAAAAAGAATGGAATCTTCCCATTTACAATGACATGGATGGAGCTAGAGAGTATAATGCTAAGCAAAATAAGTCAGAGAAAGACAAATACCATTTGATTTCACTCATATGTGGAATTTAAGTAACAAAACAAGCAAAGGGGAAAGAGATAGAGGCAAACCAAGAAACAGACTCAACTACAGAGAACAAACTGATGGCTATTAGAGGGGAGGTGGATAGTGGGATGCGTTAAATAGGTGGTGGGGAGTAAGGAGGGCACTTGTGAGAAGTACTTGGTGTTGTATGGAAGTGGGGAATTACTATCCAGTACATGTGTATTTTAACTAACTGGAATTTGAGTAAAAACTTAAAAATAAAAAAAAGAATGTATTTTAAAAAGCCATAAAATTATTGTATGACCCAGTAGTAGCACTTCTGGGTACATAATCAAAAGAACTGAAAGCAAAGACTTGAACAGGTATTTATATACCAATGTTCATAGCACCATTATTCACAGTAGCTGAAAGATAGAAACAACCCACGTATCCATCCATAGATGAGTGAATAAATAAAATGTGGCATTACACACAATGGAATGTTATTTGGCCTTAACAAAGAATGAAATTCTGACACATACCACAACATGGATGAACCTTGAATGTATTATGCTAAGTAAATAGGCCAAACACAAAAGGACAAATATTGTATGATTCTACTTATATAAAGCACCCAGAGTAGGCAAATTCATAGAGAAAGAAAGTAGAATAGAGGTTATCAGCTCAGGAAAGAAGCATATTAAATAATGGGTACAAAGTTTCTGTTGGGATAATTAAAAAGTTCTGGAAAGGAGCAGGGCGATGGCTGCACTACGTTATGAATGTACTTTTAAAAAAATGTAATATAGTACGGACATACTCTACAGTGTGGATGAACCTCAACAACACTGTGCTAAGTGACAGAAGCCAGGCACAAAAGGTCACATATCGTATAGATTCCAAGTTGTATGATATGAAAGTTGTAAGACTGTATGATATAAAATCCCCTGAAGAGATAAATCTATGTAGACTAAAAACGGACTGGTGGTTGCCAGGGCTGGAAGAAGGAGGAAATGGACAGTAACTGTTCAAGGAGTGTGGGATTTTATCTTGGGGTAATAAAAATATGTTGAAACTAGAGAGAGGTCATTACACAGTATTGTGAATGTACTAAATATCACTGACTTATTTAGTTTAAAATGGTTAATTTTATGTTATGTGAATGTTACCTCAATTTAAAATATATTAATAATTAATTTTAAAAATTCTTTTAAATGTGAAGCAGCACTCTGCAATGGCTCTACAATAGGGGGCAGGGATAATAGAGACATTATAGAGTTTTTTAAATTTTAGAGCAAAAGCAATGCATTTACTACCCACTACTAAAGTACATGGGGAAAAGATTAATTTTATAAAAGGGCATTTAAATTACAGGGTTCTACTTATCTTTAAGAGGGGTACTTTCTAAACAATTACAGTTAAAATTATTTTAGGGCATGGGGGTAGTTCTAATATTTTCATTATCTATCAATCTATACAGTGTATAATCAATAAATTATAATTTTGTATGAATTCAGCAGTAGTACCATTAAGCAAAGCCGATCAAAAAGAGTTTGTTCCAATCCATTTTCATGAGCTGCATCAGAACCCTGAATAGTAGGAGGAAGCTGTTTGGGATCTCCAACAAGAATCAGCTTTTCACATGCAAACCTAAAAACAGAATTCCAAAAGTTAATCTGAGCAACAACAAAAAAGGATGCATTGATATCACTTACTGCACTATTTTTTTTTTTAAGATTAATTCATCTGAGAGAGAGAGGGAAAGGGCAGGGGTGGGGGAGCAGAGGCAGAGGGAGAGAGTGGGAGAAACTTAAGCAGACTCCTCATTGAGCCCAGAGCCCAATGAGGCTCAACGGGGCTCTATCTCATGACCCTGAGAGAATGACCTCAGGCCCAAACCAAGAGTCAGAGACTTAACCAGCTGTGCCGCCCACATGCCCCTTATTGCACTATTTTCTAACATGTATTTCAAAGAACTGGAATATCACAAAGAGTTCTAGGAACTGGCGTACCTAGCTTGCTCAGTCAGTAGAATATGTGACTCTTGATTTCAGGGTTTTGAGTTCAAGCCCCATACTGGATATAGAGATTACTTGAAAATAAAAAAATCTTAAAAAAAAAAAAAAAAAAGAAGTTCTGGTAACCAACAAGGCTTGATAATGCTAATAAATGTATTAAAAGGATTTGAAGCTATTCAGTTAAAAATCCTTTACAACTTTTTTCCACATAAAACTCCCTAAATGGGGTGCCTGGGTGGCTCCGTGGGTTAAAGCCTCTGCCTTCGGCTCAGGTCATGATCCTAGGGTTCTGGGATGGAGCCCCGCATCGGGCTCTCTGCTCAGAGGGAAGCCTGCTTCCTCCTCTCTCTCTCTCTGCCTGCCTCTCTGCCTACTTGTGATCTCTGTCTGACGAATAAATAAATAAATAAATCTTAAAAAAAAAAAAACAAGGGCACCTGGGTGGCTCAGTGGATTAAGCCGCTGCCTTCGGCTCAGGTCATGATCTCAAGGTCCTGGGATCGAGTCCCGCATCGGGCTCTCTGCTCAGCAGGGTGCCTGCTTCCCTCTCTCTCTCTCTCTCTGCCTGCCTCTCCGTCTACTTGTGATCTCTCTCTGTCAAATAAATAAATAAAATCTTTAAAAAAAAACAAAAAACAAAAAACAAAAAAAAAAAAAAAACAAAAACAAAAACTCGCTAAATGTCTGCCTGCCTCTGCATGGAATTAGCATTTTGCAGAACACATTTTGAGAAACAATGACTTTTAAATTCTGTAAACTCAGAGACTTTCTTAAAAATCATTTGGCTTAAACTCTTGTTTTAGAGATGAAAAATTAGGCTCCTGGGGCTAAATGTCTTTCTAAATAGAGGTAGGATATCATGGGGAAATGTCTGGTTTTTGTAGAAAAGTCTATATCCAAATCTCAGCTCTATTATATTATATTCTATGGACACAAGTTATTCAACTTCTCCAAGCTTCAGTATTCTCACTGGTAACTGGATGTGTTAATACCTTGCAAAACTGTTGTAAGGACTTAGTAAAGTATATAATGTGTTTAATATACAGTAGGTGCTCCAAAGTATTACTCCTCTATCCTCCATGCAACGCCTTACTGTTCCTCCATTCCTGGCTCCTGAGTAGGGTGACCAACTCATCCTGGTTTGCTCAGGACTTCCCAGTTTAAACTAAAATTCCTACGATGAAGGACCTCCCAAGTCCCAGGGAAAACATACTAATTGGTACCCTGCTCCCTCATTAACCAGGGATAGAGCAAGGACTAGAACTCAGGTCTACTGGGTCCAAGTTTAGCACTTTCGCCATCACCTTTAGGATCCTTCAATTAGAAATCTTTTAAAAGCATAATGTTTCAATTAGCTGATACAGCTTAGAAGATGTCATAGTCTTCTAAATTTTAGTACACAAATTTTTAACTTATTTTTCTTTATATCCTTCCATAATATAATTTTCAGAACCTAAATACTGGAATTTTAACAAAGTAAGTTACTGAAGGACATTCTTCAATAGCTTAGGTTCTCAAAGTAGGACTAAAATGGAACCTTTAATCTAGCTGGAAAATCTGCAAAGTCCTAGTAGAATCCTAGCACGAGAGCTATCAAGGCTTTAAAAATTATGTAATCTGGGGTGCCTGGGTGGCTCAGTTGGAAAAGTGTCTCACTCTTGATTTTGGCTCAGGTCCTCATCCATATCAAGCCCTGTGTAAGGCTCTGTGCTTAACAGAGAATCTGCTCTCTTCCTCTCTTTCCCCTACCCCCACTTATGTTCTCTCTTTCTCTTTTTTTTAAGATTGATTTTATTTACTTGTTTGTTTGACAGAGAGAGACACAGTGACAGCAGGAACACAAGCAGGGTGAGTGGGAGAGGGAGAAGCAGGCTTCCCGCCGAGCAGGGAGCCCCATGCAGGGCTCCATCCCAGGACCCTGGGATCATGACCTGAGCCAAAGGCATATGCTTAATGACTGAGCCACCCAGGCACCCCCCTCCTCTCTCAAATAAATAAATTTTCAAAAAAAAATTATGTGATTGATCACCAGAGAAATACAAATCAAAACTATAATGAGATACCACCTCATACCTGTTAGAATGGTTAAAATCAATGTAAGAAACAGTGGGACTGGTGAGAATGTGGAGAAAGAAGAACCCTCTTGTACTGTGGGTGGGAATGCAAACTAGTACAGCCACTACGGAAAACTGTGGAGGTTCCTCAAAAAATTAACAACAGAACTACCCTACAATCTAGCAATTGCACTACTGGGTATTTACTCAAAGAATACAAAAACACTAATTCAAAGGGATAATGCACCCTTATGTTTATAGCATTATTTATAATAGCCAAGATATGGAAGCTGTCCAAATGTCCATCAACTGAGGAATGGATAAATAAGTGGTATCTACATATACAACAGAATATCATTCAGCCATAAAAAAAAAAAAATGCAATCTTGGGGCGCCTGGGTGGCTCAGTGGGTTAAGCCGCTGCCTTCAGCTCAGGTCATGATCTCAGGGTCCTGGGATCGAGTCCCGCATTGGGCTCTCTGCTCAGCAGGAAGCCTGCTTCCCTCTCTCTCTCTGCCTGCCTCTCTGCCTACTTGTGGTCTCTCTCTGTCAAATAAATAAATAAAATCTTTAAAAAAAAAAAAATGCAATCTTGCCATTTGCAACGATATAGATGGGCTAGAGAGTACAATGCTAAGAAAAGTAAGTCAATCAGAGAAAGACGAATACCATATGATTTCATTCATATGTGGAATTTAAGAAATAAAACAAACAAAGGGAAAAAATAAGAAAGAGACAAATCAAGAAACAGACTTTTCATTATAGAGCACAAACCAATGGTTACCAGAGGGGAGGCTGGTTGCGGGGGTGTTGGGGGGGGAGGGCTAAACAGGTGATGGGAATTAAGGAGGCATTTGCGATGAGCACAGAGTATTGTACGGAAGTGCTGAATCACTATATTGTACACCTGAAACTAATATTACACTGTATGTTAACTAACTGGAGTAAAGTTAAAACTTCAAAAAAAAGAATTATGTGATCCAAATGCCTCAACTGTGATCTAACAAAATCTTGACACATTAACCAAATCACCCCCAAATTATCTTCTGCATTCTTTTAAATGAGTTTAGTACCTAAATTACTAAGAATTTTCACACAAGTTTGGTAAGACTTTGAAGTGAGAAATTATTTGAAATAATTGTGATATCTGTGTTTTTCAGAAAAGAAATGTTTAGGTTACCTTGCAATAGGAAGGAGAGAGGCCGGTTCAGTTATTTGACTACACTCATCCAGCACAACTACAGGAAATTTAAGATCATTCATGCACGGGAATGGGCAGGCTGCACAGGTAACTCCAACTACTCGTACCTTTATTACAACAAGAATATTATTAATTAACAACTTTTTAGGAAATAAGATAATGTATTTACCAAAGAACTTGTAAAGCTAAAATCAGAAATGAGCTGTCCTAATTTAATTACTGGCAATCAAGAATCACAAGTCACTTTACCTCCACATTTTTATTATTCCCACATAGGAAATGGAAATCACAGAACAAAGGCTACTTAAGCCACAAGTCCCTTAATAAGAACAAATAAAAGGCACACTTCGATATTCACAAGGAAGGTATTATATTATCAAGGATTTTAAAAATATTAAGGATGACATACATATTTCATCCTTCTAGATGAAGCTGAATAAACACAACATCCATTATTATTATCAACACAGGCCAAAGTTCTCCACAAAGAGCACTGAACATGCTAATGAGCTATACCTTGCTTAACCTTCAAGCATGCTAGGATTTTGACTTATTTTAGAAAGTAAAAATGTCTAACTATTTCTAAACAACAGTAAATTAAATTGTACTTGTGGTCTGTAAGCATATTTGAATCTTATAATTCTCAAATATTATAGCAGAATACCATTATTCTCAAGGCAAAAAGCCTGATTTAAAAAAGCTAACATTTAATCTCTGGAACTAAATATAAACAAAAGGAAAATCACTGAATTTTCTGATTAGATGTGCTCAATTGCCCCTGTAGTCTAATAGCTACATAAACACACACACACACACTCACTTATACACACATACACACATGCATATATAATTTTTTTCTCTCTTAATCTGGAGAATAATTCCATTTCCTTTTTTTTTTTTTTTTTTAAAGATTTTATTTATTTATTTGACAGGGAGAGAGATGGTGAGAGAGGGAACACAAGCAGGGGGAGTGGGAAAAGGGAGAAGCAGGCTTCCCGCTGAGCAGGGAGCCCGACGCAGGGATCAATCCCAGGATCCTGGGATCATGACCTGAGCGGAAGGCAGACACTTAAGGACTGAGCCACCCAGGCACCTCTATAATTCCACTTCTTGGTAGCAAGGGCAGTCCACAAAAATGGACCATATTTTTTGTCAACAAATGTGACTGACAAAAATATGCTTTACAAATTAAATACTACCACCAAAGATCCCATAAAACAAGAAATATTATATACATTAATAACATTTATCACATATTATAGCCCTGTCAGTTAGATTTTCCTTTTGTTAAAAACAAAAACAAAATCACAAAGCCACATTTATGTTAGAAACTCCATACTTTTTAAATAGTCAGCTCTTTTAATAAGATCCAGCAGAAGACACCACTGTAGCAATATACACTGCTCATGTTATCACTTTCAAATATCATTCATTATTTAATTTCTGGAAACTATACCTGATAAAGACAACCTTAGACTAAGAACCTGAAAGTTGTGAACCGGGAAGCAATTTTTTTTTAAAGAAATATCTAGTACAAAAACCTAAAGAACTAAGGTTTCTTTAAAATATTATATGATTTGTATCTTTAATTTGTTATATTGCTAAGATTCTAATCACAGAAGAAATTTTATTACTGATCCAGAAAATAGCAATTAACTATGAAGCATTTTTAAAATTTAATTTTATTGTAAAGACACGTCACTTTAGAAATGTATTAGCTCTGAATGCCTAATTGGAGCTTGGAAATTTGCTAGACAAAAGTTTTTTTGTTTTTTTTTAAAGATTTTATTTATTTATTTGACAGACAGAAATCACAAGTAGGCAGAGAGGTAGGCAGATAGGAGAGTGGGGGGAAGCAGGCTCCCTGCTGAGCAGAGAGGCCGATGCGAGGTTCAATCCCAGGACCCTGGGATCATGACCTGAGCTGAAGGCAGAGGCTTTAATGCACTGAGCCACCCAGGTGCCCCTGTTAGACAAAACTTTTTAAAAAATGTTTCCTTTAAAAGAGTTTTCACTGGGGCACCTGGGTGGCTCAGTCAGTTGTACATCTGACACTTGGTTTCAGCACAGGTCATGATCTCATGGGTCATAATATCGAGCCCTGTATCAAGCTCCAAACTCTGCAGGGAGTCTGCTTAAAGACTCTCTCCCTCTGCCCCTCCCCTCACACCTGTGTGCATGCAGACATGTATGCACTCTCTCTTTAAAATACATAAATCTTGGGGCACCTGGGTGGCTCAATGGGTTAAAGCCTCTGCCTTCGGCTCAGGTCATGATCTCAGGGTCCTGGGATCAAGCCCCGCCTCGGACTCTCTGCTCAGCGGGGAGCCTGCTTCTCCCTCTCTGCCTGCCTCTCTGCCTACGTGTGATCTCTGCCTGTCAAATAAATAAATAAAATCTCTTAAAAAAATAAAGTAAAATACATAAATCTTTAAAAATAAACAAATAAAAGAGTTTTCATTTGTAAACAGATAATACCAATGAGCAATAGACTATGCTATCTGGGCTTTCACATAGAAAATTATCAAAGAAAAAAGAAAATTATCAAAGAAATCATAAGCAATTATTCTTACATATCAATATTATGTTGGATAAGCGAGTAAAATGATAATTTACATAAATGACTAATTTGCATGACTTGAACCCAGTCAAAATAAGCCCTTCTGGATTTAGCTGGGGAAAAGGAAGTAGTTAACTCTATAACTCAAAATAACAGAAAGCTAGTCTGAAGTCTTCTGAGGACTTCTATAACCAAAACTTGTAGATTGATTATTATTTGCAATTTCTCCCTCCCTCCCTGTGAGAGTATTACATATCCACACCCTTTACCATATGACTTTGCAGTGCTTCTCACCAGAGAAATAGGGGGAGTTATTTCCCTGTCCCACTAAATGTTAGCCTTGGCCATATGACTTGTTGCAGCAAATGGAATATTAGCAGACATGACATGAACAAAAGTTTTAAATGTATTTGTGTGATCTAGGCTTCCTTCTTGAACTTCTGCCATCTGTCAGAAGAAGACCATCATACCATGGGCAATTGTTCTCAGAATAAGAGATCTGAACCAAAGCCTCAAGCTGGGCCTTGCCAACTGACCTTTAGAGTCATAATTTTGTTATCTTAAAGTATTGAGATTTTGTTTGTTAAGCAGCATTACTACTGAAATAGCTACACAATATGGGGACCCAAGTATGCTGATTTTTCTGAATCTCTTGCAGAAAGTAACCAATGTCTACATGGTCCAAGAAGTCAACAACCCTCTTTTCTTCCCTTTTTCTTTCTTTTCCTCATGCTCTCCTTTCACTGGAGGAGGCTACTGACTGACTTCTTTCTCATCAGCTACCAGCTGAAGGAAGCTGCCCAGATCAGAAGGTGATAAAGGGCTGTGGCTACTTGTTACAGCTTGAGATCCTATGTGTCCAGTCTTGGGTTCTAAAACTTAGAAGAAAGTATATGAACCTCCTAGATTCTCAGACATAGACAAACCCTGAAAGGGTTGGCTTTCTAGGAAGGCATTAAAGGCATTAAAGACAAGGCATTAAAGACAAATTTGACAAATTTTGCACAGGGTCAGACCTTCTTTTCCTTCCCCATTTCACCTAGAAAAAACCCAAGTTTCGTTTAACTTGCCAGGAAATCTATTCCCATCTCTTCTCTTTCCTTTTTGAGCTTATAAAAAGATATACAAATACAGAAAAGGAGAAAGGATAACTCATTCATGGTTGGATCTGTTCACAAATTTGAAGAATGTTTTGCAATAAGATAAAACATGCACTGGATAGACATATACACACCTTTTATTTGACTCTAAACTATCACAGTCATTTGTTTTATTTAAAGGAAATATTCTTCATTAACAGGAATAAAAGAATTCTGAGTAGTATATACAAATTAAGAAACAAACTTACCTGCTTCAGCAGGGTTTTATTGGTCCCCAGTTTATGCTGTTCAATACTTTTTCTGACATAGACCCTTTCCAGAGGAGTCAAGTCTTCTTTCATTAATGCATGTAGTTCTTTCAGTTGTTCATTTTCACTTTCTGAACCAGCATGCAAACTAAAAAAAGAATTACATAAAAGAATACCCCTCTCTTTTTTTTAAATTAACATATAATGTATTATTTGTTTCAGGGGTTAGGAATACCCCTCTTTATCCCGTTTTCACAACATTAGAAAAAAGTAAAATAGAGATTTTCTAAGTTAACAACAACAACAAAAAGATAAAGCTTTCTCCACTCTTCTTCAAAAACCAAATTTAAAATTATAGAAAATTATTATACTTCTCTGAGCACTCTGACTTTTGAAAATCCGTGTTCTTACCTATAAGGTAAAACTGGCTTGGCAATTTTCCTGATACTCCCAACTCTGACAAACTTTTCAAAGCCAAGACTGAGAAGCCTTGAAAGAAAACAAGATAAAATAGATTCTGATTATTTAGAAGAATTTATAAAGCAAAGTTTCACCTAATATTTATGTTATTAAAATTATTTTTGTGTAACAGTGTATTTTAGTTACAGAATTCAACCTGATGTGCCTAAATGCAGTAAATGCAATGTAGCTAAAAACTTTTTTATATAATGCATTTTATTAAGAATTTTTAAATTATACTGAAGGTTCATTAAATGTTTCTAAAATACTGATGTTAGTATTTATCACAAATAAAACTGTCTCTGACATAATAATATGGAAAATAGCTACCATATACTTAGCATTAGCATTTATTAGGAATGCGTGCCTATTTTTACATACATTATCTCATTTAATACTCATTACAGCTCTGCATGATAGTACTCATTCTATAGATGAGAACTCCAAAGATGAGGTATTTTGCTGAGGCCACAGAGCTAATAAGTAGAGTCAGCCATGATTCAGCCTAGGCAAGTCTGTCTACCTTCGAAAGCTATGATCATTCTTCTACATACATCATCCCCAATTAGGGCTTTGTGAAAAAGCCACTCTCACCTACCTTTCCATCTCATTTATCTTAGAGCTCTGGCTCTAGGCTAGCAACAGAGTAGGGATCTCAATGAAATATCCAGTTCTCTACAACATCTTCTGTCACCTCAAATGGGAATTTAAAGTGCTAGAAAGCTAAATAATCTATAGCTTTCCATACATAGTTTTCCTAAATAATTTGGAAGCAGTTTGTTTAATGTCAATACATGGATAAATTGCAACTTCTGAATATTTCATAGTCCTCATCTTGGAGACAGTCAGCCACTTTTCAGTCTCACAACATAGATTACATTTTTTCAATGCAATTTTATGTTAATTCTGTGATAATAGAGTATGCAGTATCCTCATCATACCACTAAAATAGGGTAAAAAGTATGTTTTTTGAGGGCACCTCATTCACTCTGTCAGTTAAGCATCCTCTTGCTTTGGGCTCAGGTCATGATCTCAAGGTTATGAGATGAGCCTCACCTCGGGCTCTGCACTTAGCTAAAGTCTGTCTGTTCCTCTCCCTCTGCTCCCCCCCCCACCTCACACGTTCTCTTTCTAAAATACATAAAATCTTAAAAAAAAAAAAAGTACATTTTATTTCTTCTCAAGAAACTCTTTGTCCCATCCTGTCCATTACTGTCAGAGTACATTGTCCAAATGTATTGCTAAATGTTATTTTAATGTGTGAGTCTAGCCTATATGCAGTTGAGGTATATATCCTAATTACAGATCCATATTTCTCAGGTCCTTATCAGAGGCTTAAACATTGGAGAATTTCTCCTAAATGTTTTAGTATTCAGTACTTACCTTCCTTCTTCACTCTAACTTTATGATTTTTCTAACTTTTCTAACAGACTACAGTTAAATTTTCATCTCAAGCTGAGCAGTCTAAAGCTTTTTCCTATTTAGCCCCCAAGTAACTCCTCTTTGTCTTGAATCAAGAAATGTATTCAGTCTCTGTTTTAGATTACTTAGAAGACTGTACACTGGCAGATCCTTTCTGAAGGACAATTTTGAAAAATAAATTAGGAAGCTTAGAAAATATTTACATCTTGGGGTGCCTGGCTGGCTCAGTCAGTAAGCAAGCAACTCTTGATCTCAGGGTTGTGAGATTTAAAAAAAAAAAAAAAAAAAAAATTAGGGGCACTTGGGTGACTCAGTCAGTGAAGTGCTGACTGTTGATTTCAGCTCAGGTTATGATCTCAGGGTCATGGGATTGAGCCCCACATCAGGCTCCTCACTCCTTGCTCAGTGTGGAGCCTGCTTAAAATTCATTCTCTCCCTCTTCCTCTGCCGCTCCCTCACCCCCCTGCATGCAACATGTGTGTGCTCTCTCTCACTCTCTCAAATAAATCAATAAATCTTAAAAAAATAAAGTTTACATCTTTTATTCTGGCCTGAGACTTTTCTTTAAGGAAAGAATCAGAAATGGAGACAGATTAATATCTAAGGATCTTTACTGCAATGTTATTTATAATGGCAAAAATCTAAAAAAAGTTTACCGATCAAAAATTGCTTGATTAGGAGTGCCTGGCTGGCTTAGTCGGAGAAATGTGGGACTCTTGATCTCGGGGTCCTGAGTTCAAGCCCCATGTTAGATGTAGATTACTTAAATAAAACTTTAAAAAAATTGCTTAATTAAAGTGTAAGCATATCATTGCATTGCATATGACAAAGTTGAGAAAAATTGTTTTTTCTAAAAAGATGCAATAACATAAATAATCTTTTTTTTTTAATTTTTTTTTTTTTTTTTAGATTTTTTTTATTTTATTTGACAGATAGAGATCACAAGTAGGCAGAGAGGCAGGCAGAGAGAGAGGAGGAAGCAGGCTCCCTGCCGAGCAGAGAGCCTGATGCGGGGCTCGATCCCAGAATCCCGGGATCATGACCCGAGCCGAAGGCAGAGGCTTTAATCCACTGAGCCACCCAGGTGCCCCAACATAAATAATCTTTTTAAAAAGATTTTATTTATTCATTTTAGAGAGTGAGCAAGAGCGTGTGAGAGCAGAGGAGGGGCAGAGGGAGAGGGAGAAAGAATCTGAAGCAGACTCTGCACTGAGCAGAGTCTCTAAGTCAGAGTCCCATGTGGGGTTGGATCCCACAACACTGAGCTGAAACCAAGGGACAGACATTTAACCAACTGGGCTACCCAGGCGCCCCAATACTTTATTTTTACGTGAAAAAAACAGGACACAAAATACTACATTATGTTGAATGCTAAGTATGGAAAATAAATGAGTATATGCGTATGCCTTAAAAATCTGTAAAGAAATATATTATCTGTATAGTCTGCATAATTTCCACCTTAAGCATTCATTTATGTAATTATAAAAGTTAATTTTTAAAAAGCCTACACATTTTAAAATGAGTTCTTTCTTCTAATCAAACTTTGTCATTTATGTCAAAATTATGTCAATATGTTATTGGGATATTGGTAAAATATGTAATATTTTCTTTGCATTTAAAAAAATTTTTTTTAAGTATTGTATTTATTTTAGAGAGAAAGAGAAAGTGAGAGAGAGGATGCGTGACTGGGGAGAGGGCAGAAGGAGGGAGAAGAACAAGCAGATTCTACATTGAGGGCAGAGCCCAAGACAGGGCTTGATCTCATGACCCTGAGATCATGACCTGAGCCAAAATTAAGAATCAGATACTTAACTGCTTAATTGACTGAGCCACACAGTGCTCCTGTCTTTGCATTTTCAATAAAATTTTATACAATGACAGAAATTTTATACCTGCAAGACAGATTATGATTGTCTTCCTTAGATCCCTATTACTAAAATTAAAAATTAATTTGACTAAACTGATCAGCTCTTTTACTATTATAGGTTCATACAGACAGGCATTTAAGAATGATCTATAAGTTGGTTCGGCAATTTTAGCCCACTTCCAAGGTTCTTGAGTCAGGAACAAATTACTTTTATTCATGGCACTGGTAACAGCATAAGCAACCACAAATATGCACTGGTTTCCCTTGGTCCCCAAGTCCAGTGGAAAGACACAGAAGGTCCAGATAGATCCTTGCACATGCATTGTGTTGAGCGGCAGAAAAGAAACACTGAACTCGGAGAGCCACTCTTATAACAATCAGTAAGCAAACCTGCTCTTTGTCTTGGAGGGAGACACCACCTTGTCAATCAAGGCTGCTTGCTGCAAACATAACACTGACAAATGTCTTGGGTAATCGTGGTCAGGGCTTTGCATCCTTAACAACCCAAGAGGGATGCTCAGGGTCCCAGGGCAGATTGCCTCCCTCAACAATACAATACACTCTTTAGCCCTACATGACCAAGCTTAATTTTTAGTGAGTATCCTGTCCTTGTGCCAACATGGTCAGGTTTGGTATTTGATTTTATCATATTTATAACCTAGTAAGTTAGTTTATTACTCTTTCATTGATGCTCTCTCAGTCAGAGACTAAGGCCTTGAATTTTTGACATGCCCAGCAAAAATATGCATGGACACTCAGGGCCCATGATGAATTGTCTCTCTCAACAATAACCTAAAATATTAACTACTTAGGGCCTCCTGGTTGGCTCAGTCAGAGGAGCAAGTGACTCTTGATCTTGGCGTCCTGAGTTCGAGCCCCACGCTAGAGGCAGAGTTACTTAAATAAATAAAACTTTTAAAAATTTAAAATAGAATAAAATAATAAAATATTAGCTATTTATTTTTTTAAAGATTTTATTTATTCATTTGACAGAGATCACAAGCAGGCAGAGAGGCAGGCAGAGAGAGAGAGGAGGAAGCAGGCTCCCCAGTGAGCAGAGAGCCCGACTCGGGGCTCAATCCCAGGACCCTGGGATCTTTGCCGAAGACAGAAGCCTTAACCCACTGAGCCACCCAGGCACCCCAATTAGCTATTTAAATATACTAGTCATACGTACCCAAGAAGTACTCTGTCCACAGCTATATTAGTGGAAGAAGAAATGAGAAGTTTCCATGGTCTTGCATTTCCAACTGTAGGAACTTCACTCTTTTCAAACAGCTGTACAAGAAACAAAATCACCACTGCCAGCAAATAGCTCTTTCCTGCTCCAAAAACACCTAATTATTTTGAAGGAAGGAGAAAAAAAGGCAATACTATAAATAAATTTCTGAAAGCACAAGAAACATTTCATCCATCTGCCTTCCTCTCTCCTTTGTTTAAATTAATTTGTTCAAAAAACATTCATTGAGTTACCACTATGTGCTTAGCAGAGGGGATAAGTAGATAGATAACCAAAGACCTCCATATTTAATGAGACCCTAGACAAAGTAAAGGAACAATGATAAAGTAGAGTAAGTAAAAAAGAACATTTCTTCTTTTGCCATTTAAAAATTTATGGTATGTATAAAAGAACATTTCTTTCCGCTTTGGTGGAGATGGGAATGTTTCCTAAAAATAAGAAGTGCAGAACTAAGTCTTTCAGCATAAGATATCCAGACTGCTTAAAGAAAGGTCATTCTAGGCAAAAGCATGACAAAGTATGTAGATGCTACCTATTTCTATACAGGCTATCGCAAATAGGCAAGAGATGAGGCTGACAAAATAGGCAGGAGGATAAATCACAAGAGTTCTGCATGGTATGGCTAAAAAGTTCATTTTGTCTTGTAGTCCAGGGACAGTCCCTGAAGGATTTCAAGCAATAGAACTGACTTAGGCAGATTGTATTTTGTAAAAACTACTTGAGTGAAAGTAATTACAAAAGGTAAAACTAAAGGTAGATCAATTAGAAAGCTGTATGACAATAATTGCTACAATATTGTTACAATACTTTAATACATGCTAACTTCCCTGAGTACCTCCCTTTCTTGAGTGCCTAAGCCCTTTACTAATCAGTTAAGTCATTTAATCTTCCAATCCTAAGAGACAGATGCTATTAACAACTCCATGTTACAAGGCAGGAAATTAAAAAGATAAGTAACATGCCTAAGATCATACAGCTAATAAATAAAACAGCCAGGATATAAATCCAGGATTCTAGCTTAAGAGCCCACCCTCTTACCAGTAGGCTATATAAAAGCTGGGCTTAAGGGGATGCTAGTGATCTGGAGAGAAGAAAACTGATATGAAAGAAGGTAGACACTAGAAGGGAAACATCTCAGTAACTGATATGATGAGGGAAGATAAACAAAGAGTAGGAGGAGGATTAAGAGAGGCACTCCATCTAGGGAGACAGAGTAATCAAGGATGACTCCCAGATATCTAGCTTGGTCAACAGGGTGGATGTGATGCAAATCCTCAAAGTAGCAAAAAACAGCTCAGTGGAGGTCTGTGAGAGGAAATGAGCTAAAGGGGTGACAGAATCTGGATAGAATGATTAGTTCTAAGAGGGGGAAAGTAAAGCTCCCTTACTGGGACAGAACCAAACGAGGTTAAAAATAGATTCAAACTTAGGTAAACTGGAGAAGGAGAGCAGGATATTGAGAGGAGTTTCTGTTATAAGCTCCGTTTCCTGTTTTAGAGGAAAGATCAGTTTCAGAAGAGAGTGGGGCAGGGGCAAGGAGGATGCCCCTTATATTCTTCATATAAGAATGAAGGTTTCGGGGGCACCTGGGTGGCTCAGTGGGTTAAAGCCTCTGCCTTCAGCTCAGGTCATGATCCCAGGGTCCTGGGATAGAGGCCCACATTGGGCTCTCTGCTCAGTGGGGAGCCTGCTTCCCTCCTCTCTCTCTGCCTGCCTCTCGGCCTACTTGTGATCTCTGTCAAATAAATAAACAAAATCTTTAAAAAAATAATAAATAAGTAAAATGTCAAATAAATAAGTAAAATCTTTAAAAAAAAAGAATGAAGGTTTGGAATAGCTGCTGGGGGAGGATGAAAGAGTGAGCTGACTAGGAATTAAGAAAAGGCTTTGCTGCTCAGAGTTGAAGTTCACACTGACAGTACAACACGTGGATACCTAGATCACATCTAGATCACATGCTGTAAATAATGAGAGTATAATGCTACTAATTCATCAGATATGCTGCCTATTATCCCTTTCAGGGTGGTCACTTCTGCTCTCATCTAATAGTTTACTAAAGTAGGTTCAGATTCAAAATAATCTATGTAGAGTTTTTCTGGAATCTTGTCTGACTAGGAAATTACAAACAGACTAAGTTACAAAAGCTTATATAACAGTATATTTACTAGAACTATTATCTTTCTTGCTTCTTACCATGTATGATCGTGATAGGGAGGGTATGGATTTGCAGTTCCTTCGCTTCTTCAACATTTTCGTGGGATGCCATCATTTGAGCTATCTGAATTAAAGCTGTAGCTTGATCCTTATTTAAATTGTGTGCCTGAATTAATTCACTAGCTAACTTCAATGTTGCTTCTAGGCTGAGAAGTTCAAATTTTGTGTTGACGTTTGAGAAGGCTGGTGGGATAAAATTTCTCTTATTGACTCTCTTGTTGCTAACTATAGTTGATGAAGACCTAGTAAAAAGGCAGCAAAAAAAAAAAAAAAAGAGAGAATAAAAAGAAAAATTAGGGGTTTTTGAAATAAATAAACCTATTCATAGCTTAACCTTCACTTCATATGCATCACAGAGAACCTTTTTTTAAAGGTACAAATGGATATATGTCCCAATCTGAAGTGGGGGAAAGAGAAGAGAACTAACATTGGTTGATGACCAAATATGTGCAGGCACTATGCTAAGCATTTTACATATTATTGGATACAATCTTAAAAACAACATTAGGAAGTAACCACCCCAAATAGAGATACAGAAATATTAATTTTTTCCCCAAAACACACACAGATAATAAGTGGTGTACTGATTTTAAACCCCATGTTCCACTATATAAGGCTGACTTAGATAATTAATATGGCCTCTATTTCAGGTAATACCACAATAAATAAATTGGTTTTATTTCTATTTCTATAAAGAATGAATTCATTTCAAAGATCAAATAATGAAGATAGGATGCTTGGGTGGCTCAGTCATTAAGTGTCTGCCTTTGGCTCAGGTCATGATTCCAGTGTCCTGGGATTGAGCCCCACGTCCGGCTCCCTGCTAAGCAGGAAGCCAGCTTCACCCTCTCCTACTTCCCCTGCTTGTGTTCCCTTTCTCACTGTCTCTCTCTGTCAAATAAATAAACAAAAAATATTAAAAAAGGAAAAAAGATAATAACATAATGGAATCAGAAGGATTTTAATTGTTTACTTAGAACTTCATTATGGTGAAAAAATGAAACACCACACGAGCGATCATAAAATTCCAAATTAGAAACTAGACTTTACCTACCATTTTAGTGAATTTAATAGACTATCACTTCCAATATTTTAAAAAAGGGGAATGGTTCTTGAAAAATTAGAAGTTATAAGTTATGTCAAGAATAAAGTTAGTATCAATATACATTACTGAATTCAACCTATAAAAGGATTCTTTCAGATATTTAATAATTTGTGGCATAAAAATACAAATGAATAAAAAAATCAACATTCAAAAGATCCTTAATATATCACTCCTTGACAAACAGAAAAAATTTTTATTAGTTTTTATTTTATGAGTTTTTATTTTTAACTACAGACAAGCAGTAATCTCATTGTCTCTGACAGATAATAAAAATAGTACTGGTAAAAATTTATGTACTGGACTTTGACTGCATTTTCATATTCACGTTTAGTCACACTTTGGAATACCAATGACCCAAAGGTAAAATAATGACTTACATTGTTAACAAATACTGTGTTAGAGGTAGAGTAGCTGGATTAAAGTTGTCCTGAATGTTTTTCAAAGTGGTCAGCTCTGTGCTAGCATTACAAACCAACAATGCATGGACCACCACTGTAGAGAGAATGCAGAAAATGAAAATTTAATATTTAAAAAATGGATCATAAAAAAACTATCAAAACGTTCAGTTGGGTGGCTCAATTGGTTATGCATCTGACTCTTGATTTCAGCTCTGGTTGTGATCTCAACATTCTAGGCTCTATCCCTGTGTCAGGCTCTGTGCTGAGAGTGAAGCTTGCTTAGGATTCTCTCTCTCCCTCTTCCTCTGCCCTCCCCTCTCCCCAAATGTTCATTTAACTCAGAGCTCAGCTACTGAATTAATCACATGACATAAAATAAACCCTTAAGTACCTGTGGAGGTCCTTTCATCCATTAAATTATAACACTGCTTATTCATACATTTTATATGGGTATCCATAAATTGCATAAGTTAAATCAAATTTAGCCTTCTATACATTAGCTAATGAGCAAGAACAACTGTTCTGAGTTAGTGCATAGTAACACCGCTCGACAGTTCCAACTAACCAGCATACCATCTTGTGCTATATAGTAGGATTTGTGTCATTTCTGAACATTTTCTTTCATTTCTTCAACTATTTTATAGGAAAATACAGAAAGCATAAAGTCAGAAGGCTGATATGGGGGAACAACTGCAACAAATATGAAAATATGCATATGAAAGTGACAAATTAAGTAACAAATATTTACACAATTGGACTTTTACTGGACTCAAGCTAGTTGACTAGCTTTTTCAGTTCTTGAAAACAATCAGAAGTTAAAAATGAATACAAAATACTTAAAATAGGGGGGGGCCTGGGTGGCTCAATGGGTTAAGCCTCTGCCTTCAGCTCAGGTCATGGTCTCAGGTCCTGGGATCAAGCCCCACATCAGGCTGTCTGCTCAGCAGGGAACCTGCTTCCCTTCCTCTCTCTCTCTCTCTCTGCCTACTTGTGTTCTCTGTCTGTCACATAAATAAAATCTTAAAAAAAAAAATACTTGAAATAGGGACAGCTGGGTGGCTCAGTTGATTAAGCATCTGCCTTTGGCTCAGGTCATGATCCCAGGGTCCTGGGACTAAGTCCCATGTAGTCCCAAATTGGGCTCCTTGCTCAGCAGGGAGCCTGCTTCTCCCTCTGCCTGCCACTCCCATTGCTTGTGCTCTCTCATAAATAAATAAATCTCACAAATAAAATCTTTCCTAAAAAAGTTTTTAAAAAATACTTGAAATGAATCATTAAATGTTGTGTCTCTAATTATAGACCAAATTGAACCATCATGAATTATTCCAGAGATCAGGATGTATAGAGAAATCTACAGATTCTTTGAACTGGACAAGGATTCAGTCCACTAAAACTTCCTTTATTAAAAAATAATAATAAGGCTAGTAGCCTACTATCTTATTAAAAATTTCTCAAAAATCATACCTTCCTGTTCCACTGCTAGCAAAATCCCTACAAAATCTAAAAGACCTTCTCAATGTAAAAATAAATGATGTGTTTACTAAATGTACCCTATTAGAAAAATAAGCCAAAAGAATTAAAAAACCAAGAGAATCAGAACTTGATATGAGAAATTATTTGAGAAAATTCTTATTTTTTTTAATGTTTAAATTTTTAAAAATCAGTTATATAAAAATCAACTTAAGGGGCGCTTGGGTGGCACAGTTGGTTAAGTATCCAACTCTTGGTTTCAGCTAAGGGTCTTGGTCTCCCGGTCATGAGATCAAGCTCTGCACTGGGCTCCGTGCTCAGCGTGGAGTCTGCTTGAGATTCTCTCTCCATTTTCCAATGCCCCCCACACCTCTCTCTCTCTCTCAAATAATAAATGGGTGAATCTTAAAAAAAAAAAAAAAAAAAAACTTCAACAAAATACTTAAGTGAGGGTTCAAGATTTTATTATATTGTTAGCTCTCTGACACTTGAACTGCAAAAATATGTATTCAACTTTCATACCTATTTTCGGGAACACATTGCATACAATAGTAGGAAATAGAAATGGATACTTTTTCTTTTTTTGGAGAGAGTGTGCATGAGCTGGGGAGAGGGCTGGGGGAGGAACAAAGGGAGAGGGAGAGAGAGAATCTTTTTTTTTTTTTTTTTTTTGAGAGAGAGAATCTTAAGCAGGCTCCAAGCCCAGTGCAGAACCTTACCCTGACAACTCTGAGAACATGGTCTGAGCTGAAATCAAGGGTCAGACACTTACCCAACTGAGCCACCCAGATGCCCCGAGGTGGCTCGCTTTTTGTTGGCCTTAATCAAATAATCCCACACAAAGTTAGCATCCTTGCTTACAATGTGTCTTATGTCTATCATTCTTCTTTTAATATAAATTAATATGGGTATGATAACACTTACCGTTAGTGGGCCAGTTAGAAGGGAAATAACCTTTCAAAGGTAGAAGCTCCACTTCATTGATAGATGATGGCCCAAAGAAAGCACTACATGCAATAAAAGTATCTAATTCAAAGTCCAGGGTTTTTGATACCACCCAAAGATCATCTGTAAAGATAAACATTTTTTAAAGAACTCAGAACTACGCTCAATTCAAAAGTACTTTGGATTTCTTACATGCTTGGTCATATTATTTCTCAAAAAACAAAATTAGCTATTATCTACCAGATTCTACCCAAACTAAAACCTGAATAAGTGACATTTTATTTTCATGTTTTAATGCAATTACTTTTATGTTTAAGTTATTTTATGATTATATTAAAAAACAATGTAAATAAAGTAACATAACATCTAACTCATCTTTCTTATAAAACAACTTTATAGCTATATCAGACTTTCCCAAGGAAGAACATGAGTCTAAAAAGATGCTCTGTCTGTAATGGTTTTCATGCTCAAATAAAGTTGGCAATCTGTGGACAGAATACAAGTTCTCTTAACAGACTTCTACTTAACAGATGCTCTAGATTAATTAATGTTCTTCTTTCTGTATAACACGCCATCTCCACGGCATACTGAGTACCCCTAGTAGGCTATTTCCCATGATACCTGTACATCATTTCTACCACCAGTTGAGCAGATACTTACAAAGAGTCAATTTTACTTCTTCTAAAATTTATTTATACCAGTTGGATTAGTTATAATATTATAACTTAATCAGGTATTATTTGAATCATTATGAATATGAAGAAAAATAATTGTTGCTTTAAGAAAATTAAATAATTCAGAAAGACTTAAGATTTACTTTAAAAAGTCACAAAATACACAAGAAAAACTGCTTTTAACTCAAATATGTTGAGACAAATGTAAAAGCTTCGAAAAGAAATTGAAAAAATTTTAATCACTCTCCACTTAGATTTCTTCACAAGTTCTTGCTCCATGTTTAAAAATTCTGAATGGTAATTCTTTATGGGTGGTGTATCTGTGGGTATGGCTTATACAAGATAAAAAAAGGCCACCAATCAAAACACCCAGTCTAAACAAAAGCCTTAATTCTTCATCAAAAGATCATTAAATAAAAATATATTCAAATATTTTAAGTTTAAATGTTTAATGTTCATGTGCATTATTTATTATAATCCCTAACTTAAACCAACTTTGAAAATTAACTGACAAGCCACGAGTCTCAACCGCATCAGAAAAGATAATTTATTGGGCTACATTCCCATCTTGGAAAGTCCAATGCATATCAGCATATTTAAGGTTCTGAAAAATCTTAGTTAAGGTTATTTGCTTAATGCAGCATTTTCCAAATTTATTTAGCCACAGAATCCATTTTTTTTACATTGACTTTTATCAATATCCCCACAGAACTATTGTTTTAGAAAATGTTTATGCTTTAGAAAAACCTGATTTATTATAGTGTATTATATATCTAATTTTTAAAAAAATATTTGCCAGGCACCTGGGTGGCTCAGCCGGTTAAGCATCTGACTCTGGATTTCAGCTCAGGCCATGATCTCAGGGTAGTGAGATGGAGCCTCACCTGGGGCTCTTCACTGGGCTTGGAGCCTCCTTAAAATTCTTGCACTTCCTCTCCCTCTGCCCTTCCCTTGTTCTATCTCTCTCAAAAAACAAAACAAAAAAATGGCCAACTGAGGTAACATAGAAATAATTTATTCTTTATTTGCTAATATTTATTTAATCCAACCATCACCATAACTTAAAAAGATCTCCAATTCAAGATAGTTGACCAAAAAAAAAAAAAAAATCTGTTTGCCTTTCCTTTCTCTCCATATCCCACTGAAATGACAGGAAAAACTTGAAATACAAATCCAATACAATGTTAGAAAAGAGCTAGTGGGAATGGCATGTCTACTTCAGAGCCCTGAGATTCTTACAGAAGCCACAAAAAGAATGAGAAAGGATGATAAAAATCTTAAACACCAGGAAACTCCTGATTCTTTATAGATGACAGAAAGGAATTCTGGGATTGGGGAAAGAGGAAGAATTTTCCCAGCAGATTCTCAGGATAACCCCAACCTCACCACCAAGGAGACAAAGAAGAATTGTGAGTATTGAAGGTCAGCTGGGACATTAATTAATGGATGATGGCATAATCCTATCTCTCTTAGAGCAGTTGACTCCAGGATTTGTTTTGAGGCTAATTTAGTCTTTGGCTAAAACAAGACTGCCAGAAGGACTTTAAGATAGAGAAACAGGGCAGCATACCCACTAACTACTGCCACCAGGGATAGGTAAATAGAACAGAATCTATTGGCAGGTCATGTACCTAGGGGAATTTTTTTTTTTTTTTTTTTTAATAAAATAAAAATAAGCCAGGGGCACCTGGCTGGTTTGGTGTAGCATGTGACTCTTGATCTTAGGGTTGTATGTTTGAACCCCATATTGGGTATTGAGAAGACTTAAAAAAATAAAATCTTAAAAACAACAATAACAAAAACCCCACACAGTAATACATTATACAATATTCCGGGTCAAAAGACATTTTAAATATCAGATAGATGTTATTATTATCACCATTTTATTGATGAAGGAAGAATGAGGCCCGAAAAAGTTAAATATATTATCCATAGATACAAGGACAGTAAATGGCAGATCTGGGACTAAACCCAACTCCCTAACCTCATTGGAGCTGACCATACTGGGGTCAGCCTTCACCCATATGCAATGCCAGAAAGAGCAGCTGATACCACCAGGGGAAAATTAGTTTACAGGCCAAAATAATGAGACATTTAAGGAGAACAAAGACTTCAAAAAAAAAAAAAAAATACTGGATTACAGAGGCCTACAGAAAAGGAAATACCAGAACAGATGGACAAAGAATTTAAATTTATCCTGAAAAGAGATTTTTTTTTATAAGAGATAAGAGATGATAGTAGCAATGCAAACTATGACCAAGAAAATAATGAGAAAGAAACAAACAAAAATATTAGGCTGAAAAACATGGTAGTTAAAATAAAGTTATAACTGATGGGATAAATAGCAGAATAGATACTTTTGAGGAATAACAAAGCAATTTAGAAGACAATATTGAGGATATTTTCCAGAATGAAGAAAGGACAAAAGCCCAAACAATATAAAAGAAATCTTTAGAGAGTCAGAGATGCTAATATTGGAATAATAAAAGTTCTAGAAGATAAATAAAAATAAAGTGAAGATTATTTGAAGAAATAATGGAAATCAATTTCCCAGAATTTAAAAAATAGAAAAGATAAAAGACTTTAGTATTTTTTTTAAGATTTTTATTTGTTCATTTGAAAAAGAGAGAGAGGGATAGAGAGAGCACAAGCAAGGGCAAGAGGGAGAAGCAGGTTCCCCACTGAGCAGGGAGCCCCACATGGGGCTCCATCCCAGGACCCTGGGATCATGACCTGAGCTGAAAGTGGACACAACTGACTGAGCCACCCAGATGCGCTGACTTCAGTATTTAAAACAAACAAACAAACACCCTATGGAGAGATGACAGACATACAAAAAGCTATACATATTTAATGCATATAGTGGATGAGTTTAGAGATAGAAGACTTTATATTTAAAAGGCCAACAGTGTGCCCAAGAGGAGAAAATGGAAAAATTCATATGTAGACACATTATAGGGAATATAAGACTATAAAAGTCAGAGAGAAAATTAAAATTCTAAAGCTTCCAACCAAAAAGAGCAAATAACATATAAAGGAGTAAGAATCATAATGGCATCAGATTTTCAACAGCAAGAACGTAACCAAGTATATTAATACTTGGTTAAAACATATAAAATTGCTGCTTCCATAGGTCCAAATATTAAATGAAAAGAACTTATAACCTAGAATTCGAAATGTAGCAAAACTATCTTTCAAATATGAATGTGTAATAAAAATATTCTCAAGTTTTCTGGGGCACCTGGGTGGCTCAGTGGGTTAAGGCCTCTGCCTTCGGCTCAGGTCGTGGTCTCGGGGTCCTGGGATCGAGCCCCACATCGGGTTCTCTCTGCTCAGCGGGGAGCCTGCTTCCCCCTCTCTCTCTGCCTGCCTCTCTACTTGTGATCTCTCTCTGTCAAATAAATAAATAAAATCTTTAAAAAAATATATATATATTCTCAAGTTTTCAAGGCTTAGCAGGCTTACCATACAAAGACCTACATTCAAAACAGTTTTTGATGATATATATTAATAAGAGAAAAATCCAGAAAATGCTAAAAGGGAAACATGAAATAAATGTAATTAAATTACCTTGGACAAGTTTGTAGTCATTTTTTAAAAGGTAGTTATGTTCAAGGATGGGAAATAAATCCATATTAACGTAAAATTTATGGGTTTAAATTAGTGCTATTTAAAGTAGCCTACCTTAAATAGTTTTGTTATTGGTCAGCAACATGAAGTTTCTGCTAGAATGCAATCAACAAATCAACATAATGCTTCCTTCATTCAGAAGGAATATATACTTACATAATGCCGAGAAGCTAGTATAATTTTTAAACAAAATTAAATAGATTTGGGGAGTCTTTACTAAGGTTTTTTTAAAAAACTAAAATTTTAAAAAATGCTTTTTGGAAATGGTCCAATTTATTGTATAATAATTCACAATACATGCTACTATTAAGCAGTATTTTATAAAACCTCTTTAATAGAAAGAATTTACAGAGCTATTATGTAACGGAGATGCAAGGCTAGACATAGTCACCAACATGATCAATCAACTTACTTTTGCTATAAGTTGAAGAATTTTCCTTCCGACTCAGCTTAAGATAAAGTTTGTTTTTAGGTTCACTATAAAATTCAGGATTTACAGTAGTAAACTTCTTTAGTTTGCCATACTGTTTTCTTTGAAAATCAAATCCTTTTCTGAAAAATGAGTAAAAAGTAAAAGTGAATTTAAATATTAAGGGACAAATTTTTTACTGAGTTATAATTGTCATATAACATTATAGTAGTTTCAGGTGTACAATAAAATGGTTCAATATATGCATATATTGTGAAACGATCACTACAATAAGTCTAGTTAACATCCATCACCACACAGATTTACAAACTGTTCTCCTTGTGATGAGCACTTTTTAAAAAAGATTTATGTATTTGACAGTGAGAAGGGGCAGAGGGAGAGGGACTCTCAAGCAGACTCCTGCTGAGCACAGAGCCAAATGTAGGGCTCAATCTCATGACCCTGAGATCAGGACCTGAGCCAAAATCAAGAGCTGGACGCTTAACTGATTGAGTCACCCAGGTGCCCAAGATGAGCACTTTTAAGATCTACTCTTTCAGCAACTTTTAAATATGTAATACATATTTATGTATTATGTATGTAATACAGTTACCATACTGTACATTATAATCCCAGGACTTAGCTTACAAGTGGAAGTTTAAAGTTACAGATCTTTTTCTTTTCATCTTTAACTTTTTTTTAAAGATTTTATTTATTTATTGGACAGAGAGAGAGAGAGGCAGTGAGAGGGAATACAAACCAGGGGGAGCAGGAAAAACAGGCTCCCCACTGAGCAGGGGCTTGATCCCAGGACCCTGGGATCATGACCTCAGCGGAAGTCAGATGCTTAACGACAGAGCCACCCAAGTGCCCCTTCTTTTCATCTTTAAAATACAACATTAAGGGGCACCTGGGTGGCTCAGTGGGTTAAAGCCTCTGCCTTCGGCTCGGGTCATGATCCCAGGGTCCTGGGATCGAGCCCCACATGGGGCTCTCTGCTCCACGGGGAGCCTGCTTCCTCCTCTCTCTGTCTGCCTCTCTGCCTACTACTTGTGATCTCTGTCTGTCAAATAAATAAATAAAATCTTTAAAAAAAAAAATACAACCTTAAAAGGAAAGAACCAGGGTGAGTATATGTTTATATACTTTCATATATGTACACGAAATCTTAAAATATTGTGTCAAAGGAAGATAATAGCAACCATCACAGAATTATCAACAACAGTTTTAAAAGAGACTGAGATAGGAAAAGTATCCAAAGTATATAAAAGATAGAGTACCTCAGTTTTGATAACTATAATATATTATCCCCATTATTCCCATATTTTCTAGGTTATTGTGATGATTAAATGAAACAACATATGCAAAGTACCTAGAAGAGGGCACAGCATGTATAAACCCCCCAGAGATGTTATTAAATTACCATGCAAATGTTCATTATAGCTACTTTTATAAGACATTTTTCCAAAACGTAGCATTCTATTATCCTACAAAACTACCTAGTTCAGCCTTGTGAATGACCACTATTATCCAGCACTGATAAAAATTATTCTTGTGGTTTGTTAAGCAGGGTTTCCCTTAGGATTGTGACCGTATATAAAAATGCTTGGAAAAACAGCATGCCTGCCAGTCACCTTCATATTGCTGACACTGCTTGATGTTTAGAGGGGGCCAAAAATAGCTTTAGAAAATTATTCCCATTTTACAGTTAGAAAAACTGAGGTTTTAGATACTTTTAAATATTTTTCCTATCTCAATCTCTTTTAAAACTGATGACAATAAGGGCCCCTCGGTGGCTCAGTGGTTAAGCGTCCAACTCTTGATTTCAGCTCAGGTCCTGATCTCAGGGTTATGGGAGTAAGCCCCACATTGGACTCTGTGCTCAGCAGGGAGTCTGCTTGAGATTCCCTCTCCCTCTCCCATACCCCCAACTTGCTGTCTGTCTCACTCTTTCTCTAAAATAAATAAATAAATCTTAAAAAAACAACAACAACAAAAAAAACTGATGACAATCATGTGAGGTTATTATCTTCTGATATAATTACAGGCATTATTTGGTACCAAGAAACGTACCTCACCAAAAGTTGGCATTCCTCAAAGAGAGGTATCTTTTGACTTCTTAAGTATAGGCCAATACTCTTTGTATCACTTAAAACCATGCTAGGTAGAGAGTCTTCTTGTGTTAAATATCCTGGGGTCACTTCTTCAAGCCACTTGAAAAATTTACATTGTTCAGCTTTGGGTCCATCACAGGTATAAAAGAGACGGCCCTAAGAGGAAAAAGATATTATAATTTAGGAAGAAAAATTTTATATTTTACTGTTTTTGTACTGTATTTGTCAAGACATATAAAAAGTTGTTTGGCATTAATGTACTTTAATAAATTATTTATTATACCAGTTAATCTTTTTATTAATATCAATTTAAACAACACACTAAAATTTAAAACCACTTACTTTTCCATTTATTTTCTCCTCATCAAAAAATTACATTATTCTGAGAATATAAGCTTATTTGAAAAACAAAATTTATTGTTTTCCCAATTTAAAATGTTCACTATAGAAAACCAGAAAGAACTACAAGAAATATCTTGTGCATTTCTTCTTGGCCTTTTTTGTCACTCACATAAGTGTGTGCATATGCACACAAAAATATACACTGTATACTGTTTTTAAAAATAATAAAACTCAGATAATGATGGATAATGATGTATTTTCTACTCCATAAATTAACCTTTATACACAACATACTGGACACATGACAACAATGTCATCAAATTATCTTAAAAAGAAAAAAAGACTTTTGATGATTCTATAATATTTTATTCCGTAGTTATATTATTTATGAATTCTTGCTTTTGACAACTGAATTTACATCTAAATATATATATGCAATACATAAACATTAGCTTGATTTCTCCCACTATAATACATTATCAGCAATGCAAATAAAATCACTATGCTTTTCTATTCCTAAGGCCTTATCTGTTACTTATACTGGGGATCACATAATAAACTACTTCAACTTTCACTTCTTTCAGGCTCATCTCTGCATTCTCTAAGATCTCAGGTTGGGACATATTCCTTTCTCAGTGCTGTAACTATAATTTGGGCATATCCCTCCTACTGTATCAATTACACTATTATGCAAAATTTCCTTTTATCTCCATCTACCACTATGTAGTAAGTTCCTAAGCAATGTGAAGGATGATCTTAACTCACACTTTTGCATCCTAGAACACAGATAATCTTTCAATAAAAATTTCCTGGGAATTTACTGTATGTTAGTTACTAACACCTCAAGTGGCTCCTAATCAAGACTTGCTCTTTAACTAAACTTGTCATAAAGCAGTAGGTACCTAAACTTTTTTACAAGTATTTGGTGGGGCAATAGGCAAGAAGAGGCAACAATACCTTATTTGGACCATCCTTTTTAACCATTACAAGTTTTGCAGGTTGATGATGATGGCAGAATGGCACATTACTTTCTACATTTTTCAGTTTCTCTCCCTTTAATGATGTGTAAAATGATATGTCAACTTTTGAAAGAGCTTTGTGTAACCGCTGTGCCAAGCCAAACAGCAATATATTTAGATGTTCTACCCAAAAAAAAGAAAGAAAAAAGTAAAGATGAAATATAAAATAATTGTTTGTATCATGTCCACTGTTAGCTAAATTCAAAAAAGCCTTTTAACAGCGTAATCTATAACCTAATGCTAATATCCATTTTTTCAAAGGTAAGTTTTGTCCTTGTACAACCAAAAGAACTATCGAAACTAATCATGCTGGGGTGTCTGGATGGTTCAGTCGGTTAAAGGTATGCCTTCAGCTCAGATCATGATCTGAGGACTCTGGGATAGAGCCCCACATCAGACTCCCTGCTCAGAGAGAAACCTGCTTCTCCTTTTCCCACTCCCCCTGCTTGTGCTTACTCTCTCACTGTCAAATAAATAAACAAAATCTTAAAAAAAAAAAAACAAAAAAAACTTATTATGCATCATGTTTAAAATTTTTTAACAAAACCACTTGTAACACCTCTAGTTCAAAAAACATGAAAAATTATAACTTGAAAAAGATAATACCGTCATTTCCCTCTTAATGAAACTCAATTTGACCTTAAACTAGCATATAAGTTACTGTTGAAAACTGGAGGAAACATATGGAAAATAACAAATCTCAAGTAGAGAATTTAATATGAAAATTCACAGTATAAAATATTATGCTTTCTATAGCTATACTACTTATATTAAGCAGCAATCAATCATAATAAAATAGAAAAATAACAGTCATACCTATGAGACAAGATGTAAAAATCTGCTTATAATGAGCAGGAGACTGAAAAACAGCTGGTATTTGAATTTGCCTTTGGGGAAGATAAGCAGATTTTATTTTCTGTCCACTTGGGAAGCATAGCTCAGAGCCATTTATCTCCTGAAATTGAATAATTCAAGTTATTATAACAACTCCAGAAAAATACTGTTTATTAATGAGAAAGTTATTTTCTATAGAGATGTATAACAAACACATTTTTCTTTTAATTTTCAGAATTCTTGAAAATCATTTGCTAATTCTAAATGAGACAGGGAATATAGCAAAAATGGCTATGCATGGCAATTTTAATCATATAAATAAGAATAAATGTTTCTGTCCCTTAATAAGATTTTAGTTTTTGCTAGGAAAAACTTTGCTAATAAGAACAACACTGTATGTTTCAATTTCCGGTTACAACTACAATAATTGTGCAAAATCAATATATAATAAGATCTAACTTTACATTAACTATGGTCTGATTGGCAAAACTGAACTCGTAGTGAAAAATCAGAACAATCACAGTAAGAGCAGTAATCGAAGTGGAAGTAGCTGAAGCTATAATTTATTAACTAGTTATTATGTGTCAGATACTGCATCAGACACTTTCAAATATTTAAGTTTACTTAATGTTCCCAATTTTAAGTCAAAGAAGATATGATTATACCTAGAGTTCTGGAAAATTCAAAAAAGGAAAAAACAAAAAAGCCATCAGCTCCAGGAGTAAAATCATTGCTCGATATGATTTTGGTAATTCTTTTGTTAAAATTCAGACAACAGGGGCACCGGGGTGGCTCAGTGAGTTAAAGCCTCTGCCTTTGGCTCAGGTCATGATCCTAGGGTCCTGGGATCGAACCCCTCATTGGGCTCTCTGCTCAGCGGGGAGTCTGCTTCCCCCCTCTCTCTGCCTGCCTCTCTGCCTACTTGTGATCTCTGTCTGTCAAATAAATAATCTTTAAAAAAATAAAATAAAATAAAATAAAATTCAGACAATAACTATTGGAAAAAATGCACCAAGATACATCAGTACACTTCCTCACCTGTAAATCTGTTACACTGTAGATGTAGCAGGCAGACTCTCCTAACATGTTTTGAATATTTTCAATCTTGGAAGTCTGCTTTATATTCAAACAGAGTGCTTTCTTTCTAGAAACCAAATCTTGACTGCTAAAATCCTGCTGCTGCTGATGGAGCATGCCTTTTAACATTTGCAAATGCATAGAGTCTAAAGAGATTTCATTCACAGTATCATTCTGTCTTTCACCTGTGTCACTAAAATGCGTCCCAGGAATAATCTCAGGAGAGAAGCCATCTGTTACTTTCTTAGCGACTCTGCTTGGAGTACTCAAGTTGCACTGGGGTATGTTCTGATATTTCAGCCACTTGCTTTGAGTAGATAGATTATTGAGAAGTAAAATGTCCCCTGGAGTCACTTCTCTAGATTCTTTAAAGAAGGAAGTTTCATTTTGGTCCTCAAGCGCAAAGCTAAAAGAAAGAACTCCTGATTCTTCACACAAGTTGAATATGGGGGGGGGACCAGAAGATTCTTGCCTGTCACAGTTGATCACGTATGAACAAGAATCTAAATCAGGTGACCTTTCAGCAGGTGGCAAGGTAATAAGTGGAACTCGGGTTCTACTTACTAATGGAAGCCTTCGAAAGTTCTTATTCTCCAGAGAACTGGATTTTTTGATAACTGGGGGGAAAAAAAAGCTGATTAAATAAAAAATGTATTACAGTCACCACCTAGGCTCTAAAAACCAGTAGCTATCTGTATAAAAAAGAAGTACCAACTTGCCTTGAAAAAAAATCAATAATTTTATTTCCACTTTCATAATATAAAAATTTTAATGATTTTAGATTTCAAAGTTAAGAGACTCAAACTTTCTTAAGGTTGATGAACTTGCAATCCTTCTCTTTTTTCTTTTCCCCCCTTAGCTAAGGTTTCCCTTCCACCACCAGTCACTAGATTATATTTACATAGCACTTAAGTTTTCAGAGTACTTTACAGCCAAGAAGGGATTTATTGTACTCATTTTACAGACGAGACTACCAAGACCTAGAGGTAACATGACTACTGATTGGCAGAGTCAGGACAAAAACCCAGAAGTAATTGTTTGTTCTCAACTTTACATTCCTACTCCAGAGACTGAAGTTCATGGTTTATTTATCTGACCATACGACTATAACCTCCTTTATATTTACTACACTCATGAATTAATATGTTCACTTTCAGGGTAACAAAGATATTTAGCTTTATTCTGATCTGTTGGTATGTGATAAGAGTTCAACTCTGGTAAACTCATGTAATGGCAGATTTTGGCTGAATTTTGGAATTCCTTCGGTGAGCAGTGTTAGTAATAGACATACTCCTGAAATTGTAAAAAGCAATGATAAATATTTGTAGAATAAATAAGTGAATGAATAATACTACATAGGAAATATATAAGCTTAAAGTTTTTATCTGACAATCCTATGGTTTCCTATTTTATGATAATGTGCCTTCTTGACAGACTTATTATTTGTTGGAAATAAACTATAGTGATCACTTGGGAAGGTAGTACAGCAATAGGGGAGCCAATGATATTCTTCTATAATGTTAGATTATAATTCTAAGCCAATCAGCAACATTGACAGAAAAGTTAAAACTTCATTAAAGAGTAAAAGATTGGCATAAAAATAGACATACAGATCAATGAAAGCAAATAATAGATAGTTCAGAAATAACTCCACGCTTACATGGTCAATTAATCTACAACAAAGGAGGCAAGACTATACAATAGGGAAAATCTCTTCAACAACCAGTGCTGGGAAAACCAGACAGCTACATGTAAAAGAATAAAACTGGATCACTTTCTTACACCATTAAAAAAAATAAGTCAAAATGGATTAAAGACATATGTGTGAGACCTAAAATCGTAAAACTCCTAAAGAACAACATAGGCAGTAATTTCTTTAACATTTGCCAAGAAACATGTTTCTACATATGTCTCTTCTGGTAAGAGAAACAAAAACAAAATTAAAAACTACTGGGACTACACTAAAATAAAAAGCTTTTGGACAGCAGAGGAAATCATCAACAAAAGAAAAAGGCAATCTATAGAATGGAAGAAGATATTTGCAAATGCTCTATCAGACAAGGGGTAAATATCCAAAAGATATAAAGAACTTCTACAACACAACACCAAAAAACCACAAGGAACTCCATTAAAGTGGGCAAAGGATCTGAATAGACCTTTTCCTTTTTTCTTTTAAATTTATTTATCTTAGAGAGAGAAAGAGAGTGTGCGCGAGCATGTGTACGAGCACAAGCGGGGGAGGGGGGCAGTGGGAGAAGATAGAATCCTTAAACAGACTCCCTGCTGAGCATGGAGCCTGATTCAGCTTGATATCAGGACCTTGAGATTATCACCTGAGGTGAAGTCAAGAGTCCACTGCTTTATTGACAGCCATCCAGATGTCCCTGAATAGACATGTTCCCAAAGACATACTGATGACCAGCAGGCACATGAAAAAATGTTCAACATCACTCATCATCAGGGAAGTGCAAATTAAAACCACAATGAGATATTACTTTACATCTGTCAGAATGGCCAAAATAAGAAAAGACAAGAAATAACAAGTGCTGGCAAGGATGTGGAGAAAAAGAACCCAATGCACTGTTGGTGAGAATGCAAGTTGGTGCAGCCACAATGAAAAATAGTATGGAGGTTCCTCAAAAAATTAAAAATAGAATTACCACGTAATACAGTAATTCCACTACTGGGTATTTACCCAAAGAATGAAAACACTAATTTCAAAAGATATATACATCCCCATGTCTACTGCATTATTTTCAATAGACAAGATAGGGAAACAGTGTCCATCCACAGATGAATGGATAAAGAAGATGCGGTACACACACACACACACACACACACACACACACACACACACACAAAATGGAATATTACTCGGCCAAGAAAAAGAATGAATTCTTGCCATTTGCAACAACATAGATGGACCTAGAGGGTATAATACTAAGCAAAATAAGTCAGAGAAAGATGAATACCATATGATTTCATCCATATGTGGAATTTAAGAAAAAAAAACAAAGATAAAAAGAGATAAACAAAAAACAGATTCTTAAATATAGAGAATAAACTGGTAGTTGCTAGAGGGGAGGTGGGTGGGGGGAAGGAGTGAAACAGATAAAGGAGATTAAGAGCACACTTATCTCAATAGGCATTGAGAAATGTATAAAATTGTTGCATCATTGTATGCTACAACTGAAGCTAATTAAATACTACATGTTAATTATACTTGAATAAAAAATTAAAAATAAAAATTTTAAAAAATAAAGAAAGACCCATGGCTTAACTATGAAAATTATTATTTCATTGTCACTTCACTTGTTTGGATACCCACTCCTCCCACACTGACTCTTCCTTACCTTGTTTTCTCTACTAACCATACCCACTAAACCTTTTCCAACACAACTACTCATTCACATTACAAAGTTTTTCTTTTTTATATCATCCACTCATGACCAAAAAAATTACCTACAACTTCACCCCTTACCCAACACAGCTTTGGAATCAGGTGCAGATCCGCTGGTGAAATTATAAGAAAAGAGAAAGAAAAAAAAAAGTTAAAGGAAAGAATCCTACAGAACGTACTCTACTTGTCACAAAGTAGGAATTTACTCATAGGTAGGAGTAAAAAAAAAAAAAGAGACCTGAAAATGCAACTGCAGAAGCAGCAGTTGAAGAGACCCCTAAGAAAATCAGAGGAAAGAAAGAGGTTAGAACAAAGTCAACCAATGGTGTAGATGAGACACTGACAATGAACTGTTCCCCTGGGAGGGGAGTGGGCAATAGAGGGGCCTGGCTCTGGAGTTAGAGCTGTGAGAAGAACCGTAATGACAGAAGACAATTTCAGAGGTCCATAATGAGAAAATGACAGAAGTAAGAAGGAACCTGCGAGTTAGAAGGAAATACCGTATTTGAAAGTAAGAGCCATCTGGAATAGAAAAAGGGAAGGCTTGAGGGATACGACATAGAATCTGGTCCTAAGATACTTTTAGTTTAGTAATAATTGCTCAAATAAAAAACTTCATTTTACACAGAGAGGTATTAGAGCACTTTGATAGTAACTAAGTTGAGGAAGTGAAGGTCACCAGGTAAAGTTCTTTCTTTCAGGGACTCCTCAGAGAATTCCATCACAAAGTCTTCATCTCTTGAGTTCAAAGTAAAAGTAGAAACAGGGTTTAATGTAGAGCTCTTTTGTTCTGGTGATATCGCCTATTCAGAAAGAAAAAACAAGACTACTGACCAAAATGTTATTACACTTTTCCCCCTATAGTTTGAATGAATTCTAGTAATCTACATAATAAAAATAATGCTTTCAAGCACATTATGTAGAGTTATAGCAGGACAAAGATTCTTCCCAAAGGGGCAGGATAGAATAAACTCATTAAAGTCAATAATAATCATAAAAAGTAAAATACAGAACATTAAAAACTATTGGATTTATGTTGTTCAGTCAGTGGGTGGCTCAGTCAGTTAAGTGTCTACCTTGGGCTCAGGTCACGATCCCACGGTCCTGGGATCAAGTCCCACATTAGGCTCCCCAGGGAGCCTGCTTCTCCCTTTGTCCCTCACCCTGTTTCTGCTCTCTCTCTCTGTGTCAAATAAATAAATAAAGTCTTTTAAATAAATAAATAAATAATAAAAACTATTGGATTTATTTGAAATGGGTCAGATTCTGATTTAGATTGATAGGGGTTGTGCAGATTTGGTTCTAAAGATGAATCTCGATGCTGCGAGAGCCACTAGAGGCACTGAGGTACTGCAATTCCTCACCTGGAATCCTTGACTCCTAGGAAGTGTGGATTTATAGGAAGGTAAGAAGTGTGAAAAGAAAATACAGCTAAGACTAGAACCATGAAGAGGAGGAGTCAAGATGGCAGAGAAGTAGCAGGCTGAGACTACTTCAGGTAGCAGGAGATCAGCTAGATAGCTTATCTAAAGATTGCAAACACCTACAAATCCAATGGAAGATCGAAGAGAAGAAGAACAGCAATTCTAGAAACAGAAAATCAACCACTTTCTGAAAGGTAGGACTGGCAGAGAAGTGAATCCAAAGCGACAGGAAGATAGACTGCAGGGGGAGGGGCTGGCTCCCGGCAAGCGGCGGAGCAATGGAGCACAAAATCAGGACTTTTAAAAGTCTGTTCTGCTGAGGGACATCGCTCCAGAGGCTAAACCGGGGCGAAGCCCACGCAGGGTCAGCATGGCCTCAGGTCCCGCAGGGTCACAGAAGGATCAGGGGTGTCTGAGTGTCGCAGAGCTTGCAGGTATTAGAACGGGGAAGCCGGCTACAGAGATAGAGCCGAGAAGTGAGCTCTCAGCTCGGGGTTACCGTGAACCAGTCGCAGGCTCGGTGAGCTCAGAGCGAGGCTGGAGGCCAGGGAGACAGGAGTAAATGGGCGCTGTTCTCTGAGGGCGAACTGAGGAGTGGGGCCCTGAGCTCTCAGCTCCTCTGGGCCTGAGACTGGCAGGCTGCCATTTTCATTCCCGTCCTCTGGAACTCTACGGAAAGCGCTCAGGGAACAAAAGCTCCCGAAAGCAAACCCGAGAGGATTACTCGGCCCAGCCCCTGGTAAGTCCGCCTGGGGTAAAGACACTTGAGAATCACTACAACAGGCCCCTCCCCCAGAAGATCAACAAGAAATCCAGCCAGGACCAAGTTCACCTACCAAGGAGTGCAGGTTCAATACCAAGGAGAGCAGCGGAATTCC